TTAATTGCTCACCTATTCTAAGACATGAGCCGTGCCAATCTAATCACAAACCCAAACAAAGCAGCAGTCACTCCAGTCCTTTATCTCTTGGCAGGAAACAGCAAGCCCTCATCTCTTATCCACTCTGCATACACACAATTTTTCTGCAGCCTTCATCAGCACCAGGAATTCAACAGCTGAGACCAACATTTATCTCAGTAAATCCAGCATGTGTGTCTGCCCCTGCCCTGACTGTTCAAACACGCAGCCACATCAGAGCTGCTCGTTTGGAAGGCGATGACAAGGGTCATCATTTTATTCTTTATCTCCCGCTCCTGGATGCCAAAGCAAGGCAGGAAACAGCGTCCTGGGGAGCTCGGGGGTGTGGATGACAGCCCTGCCATGCTTGGCTGTTCGTCAGGGTGTCACAGGAGGATGAGGAGCAGCGGGAGGCAGAGCTGAACATCCATGCCTGCAGCCCTGGTGCCAGCCCCTCCAGCCACGTGGGGAGAAGCCAAAGAGCAGAATTGCCATGTCAGGTAGGAAAGCTTCAGCCTGGTCCAAAATCAGCTTAATTTCTGAAGATGAGACAGGTTTGAATTGAGTTTGAATGTCTCATACTTCCCTCAGGGCTGTGTTTTTGGGGAAAAAGGTTTCGTTCGGCTGCTTTCCACTCACGCGGCATTTACGTGCCTAAAAGGATTCAGCTGTCAGAGCCTGACAAGCGCTGAAAAGCTCTTGTTAAGGTCACTGGTATCAGAGAAATGTCTCTCCTACAACATCCCAGTGAATCAGGGCCACTGGCACTGGGAGGCAGGGGCTGATGTCAAGGCACTGTGCTGCAGACAGGACCGTGCCCTGCTGTCCCGGCACGGCGTCGCCTCCCGTGGAACTCTGCTCCAGCTAAGTGCAAAAAAACCACCCAGCTCTAAACATCCCTGACCTTTAAATTCAGGCTGCGGCGAGCAGATCTGCTGCTAACCAAAAATCCAGGCTTGCTTTCATGTGCCTGGGCGTTCAGGGAATAGATGTAGCTTAACATGCAAATGCTGGGCTTCCTGCAGCACGCCGCTGCTTTTCAAGCTCTCTCATTTCATGCTGTTACCTCCATCCCTGCTGTGTCTGTGAAAAGAGCCTCTCTGAGGAAAAGTTTCCCACAGACACAAAACTTGACTGATGCTGTTAAAAAAACCCCAACAGCCAATGACTTACAGTTTAATTTCTAAATGCAGTGTCCATCTGCAGCCTGGCAATCAGCAGTATCTCTGCTGCTGGCGTGTGGAGAAGCCAGCCCCTCACTCCCTCAGGTTTCTGGGTGTGTGTTTTGTATATTTGTCCTCATGTTTAAGTGAAGAAGTCCTGAATTCGTGAGCTGGGAGTCCTGTCCTGCCATAGGTGTGCAGGGGAAGGTTTTCTCTCTGGACCAGTGATGCTCCAGTGCCCTTTGATCATCTGAGCATCTCTGTGTCCGAGTTCCCATGCTCACAAAATTCAGTGTTCTACACAAAGTGGGAAATAGATATCTCTTGTCCCAGGTAACGAGCCATAAGAGAGGGGAAATGGCCTCAAGTTGTGCCAGGGGAGGTTTAGATTGGATATTACGAAGAATTTCTTCCCTGAAAGGGTTGTTAAGCCCTGGAACAGACTGCCCAGGGCAGTGGTGGGGTCACCAACCCTGGAGGGATTTAACAGAGGCGTAGATGTGGTGCCTGGGGACGTGGTTTAGTGGTGACCTTGGCAGTGCTGGGTTAATGGTTGGACTTGATGATCTTAAAAGTCTTTTCTACCCTAAATGATTCTGTGGTTCTCTGTTCAAATGCTTTTTTCCTTATCACCACTGAAAAATGCCCTTCAAGCCCATGTACAGGAGCTGCTGGGCAGGTGGGGCTCACCAACAAATAATGTTTTCTTGGCACTTCAAATATCTCCCTTGAACCTCTCTTGAATCCTTAAAGCAACACATGAGGCATTATGGACAGATGAAATAGACAAAATGTTCAATATTTCTTTGATTCTCTTTTTATTCTCTTCTAATTTCAATTTTTTTCCCATTCTATGCCACTACCATATAATCCAACATTTTAAGCATATTGTCCCTCATAGTGTCTGCTTAAATTTATAAGCTTGTGTGGTTATTTTGGCCACAGGAGACATCATGAATTCCATCAGCAATTGCTCTCCTTAGGAGCTGGTCCCAGCCCTGTGCTGCCACACTAGGAGCAGTGAGTCAGGAGCTGCTTTGGGAATGGCAGGACTCACGTGGCTGCACCTCAGCTGGGCTGGGACTGGAGAAAAGAGCACGTGGAATACTGGAAGTTCATTGAAACTTCATAGGAATGGGGTAAAAAATGGGATTTAAACCTGATTTTTGGCAATTCAGTTTTGAAGTTGAGGCTGTATGTAAGGGAGCCCATGAGCAGGTGATGCAGGCCTAGAAATCAAACCATGGTCTCTGAAATCTGGGCTTTCATCCCAAATATGCAGCTGGGTGTTCATACTCCCCAGGTGTGAGGGAGAATTCTGACCCACGAGGCTTCAGGAAAATCAAGAGATATTTGGTGAGAAGCCCCTGAGGAGGGACCTGACCCCATCCCACACTTTCTAGCACAAACTCCAGTTAATCAGGGAAGTGGCCCCAGGCTGCAGAATCTCCTCTTGGACTCCAAGAGCAGGAGTGACTTCCTCAAGGAAAAGGAGGTGCTGGGAGCAATGCCTGGCTCTCAGGGGGGCTTTTTCTCACGGTGTTCATGCTCACATGGCAGCACTCTGAGCCCTCAGTCACCTTTTCCATCCGAGCAATCACCGTGGAGCGCTCCTGAGCCCTGGCAGCGCCCACCCAGCCCAGATGGACTCTGTCCTTGACAGCTCCAGAACATCACAGAGCTCTCATCTTCTGAGCAAAGCCTTCCCCAAGTGGCTCTCATTTAAAGCAAGCCCTTTCTCCTTTCTTCCCACAGGACAGCTAATTAAGTGCAGAAGGGAGAGCTCTGCTCCTCCCAGGGCAGGCACAAGTGGGTGTTTGATATCAAAACATTGATGGTTTGGTTTGGCTCCAGCACATCAGAGAGGCTCTCCTCTCTGATGAACTCAGTAGAATAAATATCAACAAATCTTTTGAACTCCCCACTTTGTCTGAGTTTACCAGGGCTGGCCAGAAAGAGGTGAATTCTTGAGAAAAATCTTGTGAAAAAAATGTCTCTAATTTTTTACTGCAGTGGCCAACCCCAGTTCAATCTGTGTTATCTCTCAGGAGTTCTATTAATAGTCTGCTGCCAAAATTGGTGGTTGCAGCTGAGGAGCTCAGAGGAGGTTGAAACAAAGCTCTTGTCTTGCTTCCCAAGCTCTGCCTGTCCCATCCAGTTGTTTATGGCTGCCATTTCCCAGTCAGTTGTCTGTGGTGGGAAACTTTATTCTCTTTTCCTCTTGTGCATCAAAATGGCTCCAAGAGATTCTTCTGCTCCAGGCAGGAAACCCTGGAAGCTCTGGATCTTTTCAATTAGCTGCATCACAAACTGATTTCCAGCCTTGTCTCCCTCCTCTTACATGAGCTATAAAATCCCTTTTCTCCTCCCCAGCTGAACTAAAAATGGCCAATTTTTAAACCTGCTTTTACAAGCATGTCTGCATGGTAGAATTGAGGAGTTCTGGATTATCTTGTGTTATGTAAATATTTTTGTTCTTCCCAAACAAAGTTTTTCATTCCCTTTGATCTGGCTCTCTTGTAGCCAGTTTAACCTCCAGAAAGAGTCAGGAGATTCAGAGAGATTGCCACTGGCGTTAGTCCTGAGGAAAACTGGAGAGAGAAAAGAAAACTCCAAATTATGCTGTAAACAGCTCGTTTAGGAGTGGATGCTCACCAAAGGAAAGGGTTGTCTTCCAGTGTCCTTTTTAAGCAATTTTTTTTCCCTTAAAATAGCTGGGACCAATATAAAAATAGCATTTGCTTAGTGTGATACAAGATGAAAGTGGCTTTTCCAGGGAGGTGGCTGTGCCCCAGACTTGTCCTGCGGGCAAGATCTCAGAATTTCTGGCGTTATTTTTATCCTCCCATGCTTTTTGTGCCTAAAGTTTTCACTGATTGCTTTGGGCTGTGCTGCCAGGGGGGTGGAGTGTTCCCAAAAGAAACTTTTATGACAACTTCAACCTCCTACAAGAAGAGGCAGATTCCAGTTTCACTGATTTATTTATTATTAGAGTTATTTCACAGAGTTATCATATAGAGTTATATTTCATAATTACAAAATTAGCACCAAAGCACCAGTGCTAGAGGGAGAATAAACAGCACGTCCAGTCTGTAGATAAAAATTATTAATTCCACTTAAAAGTTATTATAGAGAAGATATAACAGTAAAGATTTTGGCAGTATTTTGGGTAGAATGACAGCAGGAGGTCTGGCTGAACTCCTGGTTCTGTGCCAGTGGCCAGGACTACCAGAATGGTTTTTATCTGGAGAAAATACATATAAACAAATTTTTAAAAATACATAATATAACATCTATTACTCATAATATATAATATGTAATATATAATAATATATAATAAAATATAAAAATAAAAATGAAAATAATTAATAATGAATAAGTAAATAAATAGAAAATATATATATACACACACACATATATGTGTATGCATATATTGGATTTATATAGGGCTTGCACATGTGTTTTCCTGGATGTTTATCAGGCCTGCCAGTACCTCCTTGAAGAAAAAGTGCATTTATTATAAAAACCAACCAGCTGAAGTTGTTATTGAGGTGGTGGATGTGAAGGCAAGAGGAACCAGTGCCCTGGGAGCTCCTGGTGCCACTCTGGAATCACAGCCAGCAGGAAAACTTGGCAGAGCTTTGCCGTGCCTCAGCCCTGCCCTGGTTCAGCAGGGCTGATTGATCAGCCCAAGGCTGCAGAAATTGGGGTGAGGGATTCATTAGCCTGGGATCAGCCCTCAGCCCTGGATACACTGCTTGCTTCAAAATAGGTAATTAATGGTGCTTTATTTTTCACGTTTCCAAGGCAACACAAACCCCCAGGACATTGTTTTCCAGACCATGAACTGATGCTTTTGGCTGCTGCAGAAGCTCCCCCATCTCGTCTGAAGCTGCTGAAAAGGTACCAAAGCCATATTTTTTGTCGTTATAGTCTATTTACATCCTATATCCAAAAAGTAATGATGATCAGATGCTGCTGCTGAAATGATCTGCTCTCACTGCAGAACTCATTCAATCAGCAGAGAGCTCTGCTATTCAAATAGATAATTAGTGTTGTGACAAGGGTGACTGTAAATGCCTCAGTTTGGTGGCAATGTTAGGAAGTGTGACAAAAATTAAATTATTTGTCTGCCTTAAGCGTGGCCCTCCTTGGATTGCTAATGAGGGAAATTCTTGTTAAACACGTGTCCTGTTCAGACTCCTTTACAGGTGCTGGGAAAATGATTTATTCTTTGTATCATCAGGGGCAGGATAGGCAGGGCTTTCCCCTGTTTTATCTGACACTTTTTTGTGCTTTTACCTGATGTGAGAGACCATTGCTTGTGCTGCAGCACAAAAGAGAGATCCCCCAGGGACAGCAATCCCAATGGACACCTTTCCAGATGCCATCTTGTGAAGGAATTGGCTCAGGGAGAGCCTTTGGGTGCTCCAGGCTCAGGGGAACAGTCCCAGCAAACAAAACCCACCTGCAGCTCTCCTGGAAGTCCCATCCTCCCTTTGCAGCATCAGGAGGCTCCCAAGGCCCCGTGTCCCTGAGCAGGAGGATGCTGTGGGTGCAGGGAGCCCCTCTGGAGCTGCCCATTGTTGCTCTGATTTTTTAAGCTTTTCTAAGCCTTCTGGTGTTTATATTTTTGTAATGAACTTTCTCACACGCTTGATGTAAATAACTTATTGTTTTACATTTTTTTCATGGAGGAGGAGAATTTCAATAGACTGTTGGTTTGTCCAGTGTCATTGGAGAGGTGGCACTTTCACCCTCCAATCCACTGCCACTTTTGGAAATCTATAAATGCTGGAGTCAGAAAATAAAAGGTCTCTTTTTTACCTTGGGAAGAGCAGCAAGTCCACATCGTGTTGTTTCATGTCCTGTAGTGACAGCCCACGGCTTTTGTGCAAAGGCATCACTTTTATTGTGCATTTCCATCCATGGCCACGTGCTTTGGCAGCTGGGTTCAGGTCCCACCTTTGCCCCAGGGGATGCCAACCCTCCCTGTGTGCTGGGACAGTCCAGTCCTGCACCCCTGGCTCATGATGGAGCAGATCCCTGTCCTCTTCCTGCAGTTCTGCACCAGAGGAGTGCAGGATTTGGGAGGATCAAGGCTGAGCAGGCAGCAAGGAGCTGGGCTCACCCAGAAGTTTCTCTTTCCTGATGGACATTTTTGGCTGTCCCACTGTCCTAGGAGCTGTTTTGAGTTTGAATTGCCACAGGCTGAGGCAATGAACATCCTGAAGTTGCATCCTTTCACAGGCTCCAACGGGATGCTTTTGATTCTTCCTTTTTCAGCCTCTGCCAGTGCCTTGATGCTCTCCCCTCAAGGGATTTAATCACTGGGAAGGAATGGAGAGCACAGCACAAAGAGCAGGCATGGTCCAGGCCTCACAGGACTAATTATGCTCTTAAAGGGTAAGAAAATAATCTTGGGTACATTGGGAAGAAAGTGTCTCAGTAATGCTGCATGGGGTTACAGGCTTGTCTTCTTTATTTGTGCATTTGAAAAAAAAAAAGAAAAAGAGTTTCAAAGACACTTTTTGACCTCAAAAAGATCAGTGAGGAGTTCAAGAAAAGAAATTTAATTCCAAGTTGAGTTTATCAGGTTTTCTTGACCCTTAAGGATGGAAAAAGCAAAGGAAGGATGCACATGAAGGTCCTGTGAAATTCTAATACTAAAACACTCTGATGCACAAACTGTGAAGTCTGAAAACAGAGTTCAAACCCAAAGCAAGCGAAGAGCAGGGTATGAATTCCAACGAGGGCACGGCAGACACTGCAACCTGGCAGCTCTGCAAGAGCAGCCAAAGGAAAGGTGAGAGTGTTTATTGAAACACCAAACTTCTGGGGGCAGCTCTGGGGTGCATCAGAGCCAGGACAGAGGACTGGCACCCACAGCCACTGGCACGAAAACAGGGAAATGGACCCAGATTGGTGCAGGGTTATTTGAGAGGGACAGTGGGCTGTGTTTGTGGCAAACACTCGTGCACAGACACACTGGTGCCCTCTGAGGGCATCTCCTGGGGACAGTCCCCTGGCTCTGGCACCACCTGCCAGCAGGAGAGAGTGGCAGAGCTGGAACAGGACCGTCCTGGAGGAGATGCCCAAGGGTGCCAGTGGGTGTCCCACCCTCAGCCACCTCTGGAAACACTTCCAAGCCAAAGGTAAGGCTTTAATAACTGCAACAGAGCTTGCTGAGGCTGCTGAGTAGTTCACAGGATGACCAGGCTGGAAGAGACCTTCAGGATCATCAATCCAAGCCAGCCCCAACACCTTCACCTGAAAGGTGCCTGTGCTCAGCTGGGCTGGGCTCTGTCTCCAGGCACTGACACAACCAGAGCACACAGCCTCCAGCTGTGCCAAGGGAAATACAGGTTGGATATCAGGAAAAAGTTTTTTACAGCAAGGGTGATAAAGTTCTGGATTGTTCTGCCCGGGGAGGTGGTGCAGTCACCATCCCTGGTGTGTTTAACAAAGCCTGGATGTGGCACTGGGGGCCAGGGTTTGGCTGAGGTGCTGGGGCTGGGGTGGACTTGATAATCTTGAAGATCTCTTCCAGCCCAGTGATTCTGTGAATTCTGTGAGTTCAGCCTGGAAAATGAGACACTGTGTCCTCTTTCCTGGGCTGCTCCCTCCTCCTCAGAGCCCCAAGCTGTGAGCTGTGGGATTGTCAGGAAATCCCTTTTCCCAGAGGACCAGGCTGCTCCCAGAGCTGCTGAAGGCTCCACATCCCCCATCCCTGGCAGCTCCCAGGTTCCAAGTGCCTCTCTCCATCCATCAGCCCTGATCAAGCTGCAGAAGGTGCACTCAGGTCTGTCTGAGCTGAACACATCCCTTTTTATTGATTTGCAGTTCACAGCATTAGCATAAAACAATCGAGGCGGTTGTTTCCCCTAAGAGAGCCAGGGCCTGTTTACAAACTCATTTTATTTTCACAATTTTCCATTGTTATTTATTTCAGACAGAGCTGTCAGATGAATGCACTCCCTCATGCTGGACAGCTTGCTTTATTGCCTGTTATTAAGACATAACAGATATAACCTGACAGGCACTGCCCACATCTGCCTGCCACCACTGAAAGGCAAATTAAGTAGAAAATAGAGATCTCCAATATTTCTTTGGCCTGAAGTGATATTAGTTCTTAACTCATTTTGTATTCATAGAGGATCCTGCATGTTTGTAACATATCCCACAGTAAACTGTTCAAAGGAAAAGTTGGCTTTTAAAAAAACTCTTACTCCAAGTACCTCTGAGAAATCCAGGCTTTAGAATACAGCTCTGATGCTGGATGGGGAATTGAAAAGGATGCAATTTTTAAAACTGTGACTGAAGCCTACCATTCTTATGAGATTTCAAATATAAGATGTGACAAAGTGCTGGTTATTTGGGGAAGCCCAAGTCCAATGGAATGGCAGAAGCACCTTCCCCACCACCTGCAGTTCTTCTTGTATAATTTTAGTCACGTTTTTCATTAGTATTTTTCTTCCTTTTTTTTTTCACCCCAGGACTGAGTTGCTAATCTGGGATGGTCACAGGAGCTGCTCTGGAAATGCCTGCAAGAGGTAGGATTATCCCTTACTGCCTCTCCACCTTCTCCTCCTGCACCTTCCCAATGCCAGCTTGTTTTTTATCAACTCACTGGAGAACCAGGACACTTGCATTAATGCAAATAACCCTGAACTGCATTTACATGATAGGAGGAAGACAGAGAGATCAGTTTAAAGGAAGATTAATCTGGACACTGGGGGAGGCAGAGCAAGGCAGGAGTGTCCACCTACAACCATCTGACAGGAAAATCCTGATTTACTCCAGAAAAACTACTCCACTGTTGTGTGTAAGTACACACTTGTGATTTGTTGGGATCATTATTAACCCTTACTGCAGCGTCTGGATCAGCTCCCTGTTATGCAGGTAGAACCCACACTTTAAAAGCTTAAAGTAAATAGTTGTGCTGTGCCTGTGTTCCCAAGAAAAAGGTTTTTAGTGCTGGAAAATCTCAGGTTTTATGGGAAGCTGCAGTGTGTAAGGAACAGGCAACTGCAGCAGCAAACAGGAGCTGAAATTTAATGCTAAATAGTGACACACTGAATACATTATTATAAAAGACTGACTCTTCTTCAGTATAATTACAGTGGGGTTTTTTTTACATTATAGGGAAGAGGAAACAGCCTGACTGGATAGATGGGAAGTAGAGGTGGATTTTTGCCCCTCCTGCTGCAAACCTGCAGGCAGAGGTGGAGCTCAGAAACTTGAGCACAACCGTTTTTAGATTTATTAAACCCCCGTGTGCAAATATGTAATAGGAACAAGCAATAACACTTTGAGATACTCTATTATCCCTCTATGTAATAAATATTTTATTAGAGCAATAGAAAAGAATGCATACAGATAACCATAGGATACACACACAACTGGAAGTTCAAGGATAAATTTCAACCTTTTCAATATGAAACAAGGTACTGGGTACATATCTCATGGAGATATAGAACTAGAAATCAAGTAATAATACAATGTAAGTGCATGAAAAATGGGCAGTACAGAAACCTGGACTAGAATCTTCTGAAACAAGAGAAAGAGTCACCTTTTGTTGCATGAAATAGAACTATTTACTCACTAGGAACACCTGGGTTTCCATGTCCCACCCACCCCCCTGTTTGCAAGTGTCTGAAAACAACACTGGTCAGCCACATGGAAAAGCAACTAATTTTAAACTCATTTATAGCTCTCTATGTACAGTATATACAGCTCCTGCTTTCCTCAGCAGCACTTTGTCTCATCTAGAGCTCATCTGCCAGCTGAGTGCATATCAAGGTATTTTTTCTACAGTGCTACCATAGTTTTATTAATCCTGGTTCTCCCTTTGTAGGTCTGTGTGTTGTAACAATATTGTGAAATTTAAAACCCCAGTCTTTAAGAGGAAATGATTTATGTCATGTGAGCACGTGCTGGAGCAGGGATGCTGTGACCTCTCTAAAAGGTGTCTGAGAGGCTGATTTGACTGAAGCCACAACTCCAGAAGTCAAATGGACCAGGCTGAATGTATCTTTAATTTACTGCCATGATAGAAAGCACAGATTTCTCTTCAACAGCAAGTCTGAAGTGTTGTTGTATCATTTTTTAAATATCCTAATATTGCCATGAACTTCCCAGTCTCATGTGACAGTAGCGGGGTGCAGCTGAGAGCCAGAGCAGGTGGAACAGTTCAGAACTGGTTCCAGAGCATCAGGAAGGAGAGGTCTGGCTGTAAGTCTGGATTCAGGGTGTTTGCAGTGCAGTGTGGCAGAGAAATGAGCAGGAGAATTTGGGGTGCAGGTCTGGGAGCACCAGGTCACGAGGGAGAGAGGGAGGGAAGGGGTGTCTGTCCCTCAAGGCCATGGTGCCCCTGCAGCTCACCAGGGCTGCCAGCTGGGCACCTCAGCTCCTGCAGCACTGGCAGGAGGGCAAGCACATCACCCTCAGGGTGGGAGAGTTTGGTTATGAACAGAGAACCTGGTCAGGAAAGGCAAGGTGGGGAGATGAGGACACGAATTTCAGAATTTACTGAGAAGGTGCACAAAAACATCCTCAAATCACAGCAGCTGGGAGATCATTTCTCAGGAGCAGCAGTGGAGGCCCTGCCTTTGCCCTGCTCCAGATGGGATTTCTTTGAAGGACATTTCTTTTGGGATTTCTTTCTTTGAAGGAGATTTCTTTTGGGATTTAGAGCAACTCCCACAAAGGGCAGCAGGAAAGCGATCCCAACTCCTGGGTGATGGCACTGCCTTGGTGGCCGTGTTACCCTCCAGCTGGTAACAGCCACAGCTCTGATTTCATCTTTTCCACGTCAAATGTTATTTTAGCAATGCAGAACAGACCCACAACAATTCAGGGCTGCTGCAAAAATGTTGTTTCTCACTCGCCCTCCTCGCCCTGACCTCACAGTGCCATCCCTCCCCCTCTCTCTTAACACTGCATCTGAAGTATGTAACATGTAAACTCCTTTGGTTCAAGTATTAAGGCATTTTAGATTCCTTTTTAAAGGATTTGCTAAACTTTACATGGTATTTTTTACTTCAACTTACAGTGAAATATAAAGAATTTAAAAACACGTCAGGATAGAAGAAAAAAAACATGCATTAACCACTGCAGTTTTTTTTAAAAAAGCACTTTAGTAACCAATTTTTTTTTTTTTTCCCCAGCAAATGCAAATGTTATCACCACAACACAGAATTAAGGGTCAAGGAAAATATTGTTGCTAAGAAGCTGGAGACACTGAAGATACTCAAGACTGATGGGCCAGAACCTCTTGCATCCATACCTGTGACAAAGGAAAAAAATGAATTCAGGATTAAATGAAAGCATAAGTATCTGCTGTGCCACATTATTACTCTTCCTGGATGCCAAGCAAAAATTACTGTAATTTTTTTCTTACAAGCACTAGAGGTTTTCTGTATAAAAATACAAGAAATACTTAAAAATTACAGAGATGCTGCGATCATGAATGGTTTTGGTGCTCTGGTTTAGCTGACAAGGTGTTGTTTGGTCAAAGGTTGGACTCAATGATCTTGGAAGTCTTTTCCAACCTTAATAATTCTGTGAGTCTGCTTTCAAAGTAATAGTTTTAAAAAAAAGGAGAACAAGTAAAAAAGGTAACATTTTCAATACCAATTTACATGGCAATTCACCAGTTCAGCAGAATGGAGTTTTTTGCCATGCATAAGGGCAATTTAAGGAAGGGCATAAGGAAGATTTTAATCGCTTTCCTTTTATTACCTTATCCCCACACAACATCCAAACATTAATTTTCGTTTTTTTCCCCCCACCCATCACCAAAGGAAGCACAGACAAGCTGGGACAAAGGGAAGTGGTTCAACCTACTGGCTAGCCTGGGGATGAGGATCTGCTCGCTGCTGCTGCCGTCTCCCCCCTCCGTGGTGGCTCTGACCTCGATGAAATAATCGTCCTCGAGGTGCAGCCAGAGCTCGGCCGTGGTGCCGGCCGTGGTCAGCACCTCCGCCGCGCTCTGGCCGCCGCTCCTGTACAGCACCTGCGGCACAGCACAGCCTCAGCACCGCCCTGCCCCTGCCGAGCGCCGCTCCGGCTCTCACAGGTGGCGGGACGAAGGGAAGGATGGGGCTTTTGGTTAGTGTTCCAGGGCGGAGTTGTATTTTAGGGAAGAAGGGAAACGTCAGTCAGTGTTCTCTTTTGAACGCTGACTCAAAACGTTCAAAAACGTGGTTTTTTTTTTGGAATGTTTTTCATTAATTTTCCAACTTTTTTTTGCCTTTTATTCCAGATTTGGTTTCAAATGGCACAATGGATGCTAATACGTATTCTGTATTATTTTTATTACAATAATCAGAAATAATGGGACACTGGAACAAGCTGTAAACATGTACTTCTTGCCAATACAACTTGATGGGTGATCAGATCTTCAGCCTAAACCTTTTATTCAGGATTATATCATGTGGGATACAGCTGTACAGAGCTTAGCAGGAGCATCCTCAGCTGTTCTTTTACACATACTTTACATGACATTTTTAAACACTTCTACATTTGTGTACTGGTCAGATTTAGAGCAAGTGCAACTGGGTAATTTCTGTCAGGGAAATGAGCATGGCCCACAGCAGGTAAGAGGAGAAAGGTTTAAAAATATCAGTTTAATATATGTGATAATATATAATAAATATAATAAATACACCTGGCCAGCAATGGAAGCTACGTGCATCAGGCTAAATGCTTTTGGTTTCTTTCAAAGTTTTATCCATTTGGGTAAGCATTACACATTTAAAATAAGAGTTATGGATGTGGTAAGTGCTTAAATGTTCTCAGATCCAGGTGTGGGTGGGATCCCGGGAGCTGAGCAATGCCAGCATGGGGAGGAAAGGGGATTCAGGGACATTAATGGTGAGACACTGTCAAAACACCATTTAAAATCCCTAAAAAGGAGACCCCAGTGAAATGGTTTAGGGGTGGGATTGTGCATGCTCTGACCATGCAAACAGACAAGGAAATACCAGCCCTGGGTTGTTCCCAGCTCTGTCCCCACTGACCTTGTAGCCCGTGACCTCGGACTCATTGTCCATGGCTCTGACCTCCTCCCAGCTCAGCACAACCCTGGAGTCTGTCACGTTCCACACCACGTTTCCTGGAGGCTGGCTGGGTGCTTCAAACACACAACAAAAGCACAACTTTAATTTAATTGGCATTGGTGATTGATTCAGCAGCTCAGGTAATTGGCTGTCACTGCATTTGGGACGCAAAGTCAGCTCCAGTGCAGGCTCCTCTCTGTGCACGTTGTGGTTCAGAGGCTAAATTCCAAAAAGAGAAGGAAGGAAAAAGCCAGAATGGCACATAAATGTTGTTTCTGAAGCTCAAATATCTGTTGCTGGTCCTTCATTCAATACAGCCAGACAGAAGCATGTACCCTAGGACACGGGTGATTAATTAGAACAAACTCTAATGATGGTTATCAGAAAATTTCTAGGTTTAGTACAGTGCCAAGAAAATTCTTCACAATAGATGTTTAGACAAATTTAGTCTCAGTGAATATTCAAATTTGCACACTATATTGATTTACTTTAAGATGTTATGGAAAATATTTGCAGGGTTTTTTTTTGTCTGTTGGCTCTTCCAGCTCGAGCTGTGGTTCTGAACTGAGCCTGTGCCAAAAGTGGGCTTTGGCCACAGAGATCTGCTGGCATTTTTGGTTCATTAGCAACCCAAGGCTGTTATTTGCAAAGCAGTTGCATGCTTTGGGCTCTGCCCCTTTCATGTACCTTGGAGCTGCCAAGCTTTCAGGGAAGTACAAACCTCCTCAAATACCTCAGGTTGGTTTCCCAGAAAATAGGTCCTGCAGTGACACAAATCAATGATTAAAATATTTTCTAAATGTGTTAAGGAAAACAATTTACTGTTGCTGTCACCTAGTGGAGGCAACTGCTGCTGAGGTGGGCTGAGCTGTGCTTTGAGACTGGAGGCTCCAGCTTTAAGCACTGGCAGTAGTTTTGAACACTTATATCCATGTGCTTATGGGGATTTTCCTCTTTTTATTCCCCCTCCTCTTTTCAATTCTCTCACACAGGAAGCTCTCTGCCTTCTTTCCATAAGCAGTCAGATCCAAACCCACCTGATTACACTCAAAAAAACAGAAAAAACCCCCCCTGAGACTTAAAAGAATTATTCCAAAGTCAACCAACCACCCACAGCTATTTTCTTTTACTATTTGTCTTGTTCTGTGTACTGAGGAAGGTTTAACCTGATGTTCTAATAATAACATCCTTGTAAATGTAAGAGGAGATTGTTTCACTCCTGAGAATGAAGTGTTACAGCATGTATGAATCGTTTTCACACTGAGATATTACAGCTGAATTTCAAAGGAAATGAGTCATCCTTGAAATCCACAACAAAATATTAAGATGACACGTGGAAAAAAAATGAAGAGTAATTATCTATAAAAACTGCAAGCCTCTGTCTGAGGGATTCAAAAGCTCCATTTGCTGCAGACACCAAAATCCCCAGCAATCACCAGAGTTCAGAACTTCACTTGTGGCAGGTCCTGATCCATCAAGTCACGTCAGGACATGTCCAAGGAGCTGCAGGGAATTCTGAGCTGCTCAGAAGGCTGAAATCAGGCAGGAGCATTTCTCACAATTAAGAGCTGATGGACAGAACACTGGGTTTTATTTTAAGGCTCTCGAAATATGAAATAATTGTCACAACTTAGGCAAGTCTTCCCCACCCACTTGGCATTTTACATAGCAGCGTTTTAAACCTCCACTTGTTATTCTGGGCTGTAAACATGCATATTTCAAATTTTAAAGCAAAGATGTTTTAATTGTCAAAGGCTCACTTTCAATTTTGAAACACACTGCCAACAGAACTGAACTATTTGTATTCCTTGATAGGGCAAAGAGTTTCTGAGATGCACCTGGCAGATCCTGTGGGGGAATGCAAACCCTTCTCAGTGAAAACCACACCAATCACAAATATTCAAATTAAATTACAAACCGGGATTGATTAAAAATTACACATTTGAATGAAAAATCAGTTTTTACTGCAGTAGCACGGACAATTATTTCTCTCAGCAATTCAACTAATTTATCAAAATCTTCAGACTGACATTACATGGCTTTGCTCTCCTCGTTCACCAGAAAGATCCATGGACATAATGCAATTAATTTTCCTTTTTAATTATTCCAAGCAGCAGCGTCTTGCCCAAGGGCCTGACCCAGATCCTGCTCACACCAGTGAGATCAGGGGCTTGTCCAGTTCTCAGTCACACACCCCAGAACCACGGGGCACATTAAAAAAGGACTGAAAAAAATCCCTGAGCTGACCAGCCTGGCACCACCTCTATTGAGCAGCCACCAAGATGATTAATTAGAAAAAAATTCCTTTTCCCATGTCCTGTCCAGGCTGCAGGCAGTGAGTCACTTCAGACCAGCCAGTTCATGGTAATTGTGCATATAATATATTTAAACTCTGGCAAATCTGAGTTGGTTTAGTCCTCAGTGACAGACTGACACTCATTTTTGCATAGAATAATTTCTGATAAACTAGCTTATTTCATAATATTAATGCTACAACTCAGTCTGCTCGGGAGATGTTAATGACTATTGCAGGGAATTTGACCCTTCAGACAGATTTAATTGTCTGTTCTTGTGCCTCTGACAGAAACACTTCAAGACTGATGACCCTGATTCTGAGCTGTATTACAACGGAGGAGCACACTAAAAATATTTCCACTTGTAGAAAAATTAGTGCAGCCTTTGACAATCTGTTCTCCAGCTTAATTTTGCCTTTGCAGCAGCAGAGTGGCCTCTTGTGCAATTTGTTCAAGGGGAAACAGTGGACATGAAGGATTGCTTTGCATGAACTCCAGGAGGTTCACTGCATTTCAAAACCCATGCCCTAGAGAACTTATAAATATGTTATAATAGAACACTGAAAAATTCAACAAGTCTTTTTTTTTTTCCCCTCCTAAATAACTGAGATTTTTCTTTTCAATTTCTTCCAGTCATTAGCAGCATAACAGAGGTTCAGAGCAGAAATTACAGATAGTCCTTGGGCTGCTCTGCCTTTCACCCACCCTGCTGAAGAAGAACGCGGAAGCTCCGTGCTTGACCAACGTGACTGCATGGAAATTCAGGTCGCTCACACTGTGATTCCCGGGAATTCCACTGCTCTCCTTTCCCCTCCACGTGCTGCCACACCGTTTGTGCCTCTGCCCACCCCGAGCTGAGGTACTCACGTGGCTTTTTGGTGGTGGCATTGACGGTGGCACTGAAGGGCCCTGCCCCAGCGCTGTTGTAGGCACGCACAGCTGTGTAATAAGCCAAGTTGCTCCTCAACCCCGTGATTTTTATTGATGTTGCGTTCCCTGCTGCTTTTACTCTGTTGGAAGATTCTTCTTTTTGGCCTTTATTCCAGTACCTAACCTAGGAGATAAAAACCAAAGCCATTTAAATCTTGCATGGAATGGGCTGTTCACCCACAGCGCTGTACTCGACTCTTTTTAAGTGCATTTTTTTTTTCCCTTCAGCTGAAAAAGGTAGAAATACATTAAAGGTTCAGAAATATGTTTACTATGCAAAAAAAACCCCAAAACTCTTATCCATCTGCTTCTCACGCTTGTTGCTCTTTACAGTGTGACTGCAGGAAAAAGACAATTGAAATATTAGATCTTGCTTGAACTAAAGAATGACAAGAGGAAAGTCATTACTTCATTAAGAAGGAGACAAGTTAAGCTCAGAAAAATGTACCTTACAAAGAAGTTTCTCTGAAAGTAAATGGAATTCTGAAAAAATGTTAGCTTGGAGTTATGTCAGACACGTGACTATCTATCAGCACAAGAAGCCAAACGCAACTTCACTCTGTGGGACTTTTTAACAAAGACAGAAAAAAATATTCTTTTTCTGGCCGTAGGTGGGGCAGGAAAAGCAAGATCTGGGGTGAATCTGTGTGGCTGTGCTGCAGCCTGCACGACCCTTCTGGCCCATGGCCCTTTACGAAGAGGAGTGCATTTTATTTAATAAATAGGGTTGATTCATTGAAATATTTTTTATCTCCACAGACTCACCTCATAGCCCAGCAGCCTCCCATTGCTCATCTTCCAGGGAATGGCTGTCCAGGACACCTGGATGGCTGAGGAGGACAGGCTGGTGGCAGACACTCCTGAGGGGGCCGTGCTGGGCTCTGTGTTGGGAAATCAAAATGGGAGAGGTGACTGGGAATAAACCTGGGAATAAATAAATAAATAAATAAATCCTCATCCCAACCCACCTCACTGCCCCGAGCTGCTGCTGGAACTGATGCCTTAAGTTTTAGCTTTTGTATTTTTTAGATTCTGTACTGCATTGGTATATAATTCTGAATTTCATACAAAGTGCCAGCAGCTCTCCTCACAGCTCAGGCACACAGAACAATCCTTTTCCAGAACCAAGGACACCGCTGCAGCTTCAGCCCAAAAAGTGCAAACAGCAGGGAATGGAGGGGAGCAACCTGGGAGGGTGGGACTGCATCACCTGGAGCTGGAACTGGACAATGAACCCAACATGGAAATGGGCCAAAACTGATAAAAGTGTGAGAACTCGTGACCCAGAGTCCACCTTGGGTGGAGCCACAGCCAGGCTCTTGTCCTGCCCAAGGTGAATCCTGTGAAGGCCTTTAAAAAAATTCCTGCTTTATTCCTTAAGTGTGTTCCAGGCAGCCTCTCCAGGCAGCAGAAGAGGCCTGAGGGGTGTGGGGCAGCCCAGGGCTGTACCTTCCTCAGCTGAGAACACCGTGGCCACGGCGCTGAAGGGCCCCTCGCCCTTGTTGTTGTAGACGCCGACTTTGACCTCGTAGGGCGAGAAGGGCAGGATGCTCTCGTTCCTGAAGACGTATCTGGGGGTGTCAGGGGAGGTCACCACCGTCTGGATCCACGTCGTGGTGCCCGAGGGGCGGAAGGCCACCACGTAGCCGAATCCTTCCCCGTTCTGCAGCTCCTCAGGGACGGGCTGGGACAGAACAACACCCGTGAGGCCGGGCAGGAGAAACTCAGGGCATGATGCAGGTGCTGGCACTGCACTCAGCATCAAGCCCTCAGCCAATTAACTCTGGTACAGAACAGCAAAATGTGCTCCCTACAACCTCTTTTAAGGTTTGCATTTCAAGAAGAGAACAATTTTTGTTGCCACATTTCTCTTCACAGAGAAAAGGCAAGGCACAATTCGTCCCAAGAATGTTTCTGGGTTTCACATTCTCTGAACATCAGAGAAAGAAGACACAATTCTCATCATTTGCTGTGCCTGTGTTGTGCCAAAGTAGAGTGCAATATGGAGATTGTTTACCCAGAGTGAGGATGCTTTGTTCCCTTGGCCTTTCAGGGCCAAGAATGTGTGTGTGTGTGAGGATTGTCACGAGAGAATCAGGGGATGAGTGGAGTTCTGTGCAGTTGTGTGCACAGTGAGTGCACGGCAGATTCAGTCTACATGTATGCAATATAGTATAATAAATTAATTAATTAGCCTTCTAATAAGATGGAGTCAGATGCATCATTCTCTCCCCTTCGTCAGAGTCACCTCTGATTAGTAATAAACTTTCAGGTATAATCTCTGGTTTTCACTAAGTATTCTGCTTCAAGATGCTCTTCAGCAAATACAGCTTTTCTTTCATCAATCCACAATTCATAAAAAATGAATGATTGCTTAGTCAGCTGTTAGAGAATCCAATACCATCACAGAGTGGCTGAAACCTTCTTCTGATGTCATTATGATTAGATAACCGCACAGAGTAGTCAATGCTAGCAACAGAATATTAACAGTTCCTTAAATCATTAAAAAAAGATACATAATATAAATAGAAAATGGTTAGCATGTGCATCCAGATTTAATGGTGGGAAAGCAAGAACTGCAAATCTGCACTGCAAAACCCAATTCTTTGGCTTAACCCTCTTGCCCTGTCCTCTTGCCTCCTTTTTAGCATCAACATTTGCTTGAGAACAGAAGCAATCCCAGACAAAGTGAATTCCCTGGGGATTTCCACCCAGCCCAGGGACACATGAGAGTTAAAGAACAAAGGCCAGTGTGCAGGGCTCACAGCACACAGGGCCCAGAGCACGTGCACATCCCAGAGGAGAAGCTGCTGCAGCCAGGGAAATTCAGAGAGAGCAGAAAGAAAAGAAAGGAAGAAGTTCTGTGAAGAGAACTTCTCCCCAGCAAACTTACATCCCACGTTATGACCAGCTCAGACCTGCTGCCTCCTCCCCCACTGACCTCAGAGGGGGGAATTTCAGGAACTGTGGGAAGGAAATGCAGAGATGTCAGCACAGAGCAGAGACAGGAGAACACACCACATCTCCCTCATGCTCTGTGTTTAACCCATGTTCACACTCCTTTTGCAACCAGGGGGAATGGTTTTGGGGTTGGAGGGGCAGTACTGGGAGCCCCAGCCCTGACCCACACTGATCCTCCCCTGGGCCAGGCTGGGGCTCCTCTGAGCACCTGGAGAACCTCAGCAGCTCACAGATTATTTAATTATTCATTAACCACTGCTGCTGTGTTTAGGAAATTCCAAAACTGGAGACAACCTTAATTTCCCTAGAGTTAACTTTTCCTGGGTTGGAAGAGACCCCAAAGATCATCTTATTCCAGGACACCTTCCAGTGGACCATGTTGCTCAGAATTCCACATCCTTGAACACTTCCAGGGATGTTATGAAGATAAACTGGGAAACAGCCTCATTCCAAGTGAACTGGGGTTGTAATTGATGGGCTCTTCTGAGCCACATGCTTGCTGCATGGAAGGGTTTCACTGATCAAACACCAGGAATAAAAAATCCCTGTCAAAATGAACCTCTTTCCGTCCATTAATACCTTCAGACTCTGCAGCACTGCCTGAACTGGCAGATTTTGCCACAGTAAATGCAGTTTAAATGGATTTAGATGTTATGCTTCTGTGGTGTTCAGTAATGCAACACAAACTGTCCCACAGCTAAATGGAAAAATATGAACAAACTTGTTACAGGCTTTTATATCCAACGGCAATTCCAAGCTTGTTTGCAAAGAGCCAAGAAGGTAAAGATATGAACGCTCCTTTTCTTTGTTAACATTCAAGATTCTTGAATTAAAAACAAATAGAAGGACCCACTAACCTGCCTCTTCAGTTCTTACTTTTTCTGAGGGCAAACTAGGCTCTCCACCTCCTATTTTGTTACTGGCAACTACACGAAATTCATATTCAACCCAAGGATTTAAATCCACTACTGTGCTTGTGAAGGTTTTCCCGTCGATCACCTCCGGAACTGTGGAAGAGAAAAGGGAAAAAGGAGCTCAGGAACAGGGTGCCAGAGCCATTCCCACAGAGCCTGGGCTGGGAATTGTGCTGACCTGTGGTGGCTCGCTGCCAGCCCACGGAGAAGGGAGTCCTGGCCTGGATGGTGTAGGTGGTCACGGGGCTGTGGTTGTCCGTGCCCTCCTGCCAGGAGATCTGCGCCGTGGTGTCCGTGACCTCGTCCACCCTCACGTGCTCAGGGGGCCCAGGAGAGCCTGGAATGGGGTGGGAAACCAGGCAGAGTTTGGTGAAGCCCTGGGAATCACTTCCAGCAGGACGGATTCCCGTTTATTTCCTTCCTCAGGGAGGAGGAAGATAATTCAGACTGGAATCAGAACACTCGTAATTATGGTTTTACACTCATTAACTCTGGTAATTTCAACCTGAAATACTCTCAAGGGCAGAACTGATGAGTGGGTTTTGGCTTTTTTACCAAGAACCTTTGTTCAGCACATCCCTCTGGCTTTCCAATGTCTTCTCCTTTAGTCCTAAATGTCCTCTTTAATCTCTGTAGCATGGAAATGTTTTACCTACAACTTCTTTACTGTACAAGTCACTGGAACAAATTTTCAGCACATCTGACCAGCACCCCAAGCAGCAATTCAGTCAAACTTCCTGCTGCCTTCTGGAAAATCCTCATTCTGGGCATTTCCTGGCCAAAATGCTGGGTTTTGTCTCACCTGCACCAGCAAAGGGGGTTGAAATGAGTAGCAGTGCATTAACAATGAGAAACTACCTGAAATATTTTAAAATATATTGAGCAAGTGCTGATCACATAATGTGCTTTTTTAGATCAAAGCTTTTACCTTGCAGTAAATGTAGCTGTAACATCAGCAAAGAGAGCCACAGTTCTGGCTCAACTGTGAGCATTCCAGCTTGGAATGAAAAGAAATAATCTTGCATTATAGGCTTGAAACCCTAGGAGAAAGCCTCTCCTGGGCTCTGGCAGAATTGCCCATTTCACAGGAAGGATTCTGGAGTCCCCAACACTCCAGTCTGCAGAGGCAGCAGCTCCAGCTGCCTCAGGGCTGCCAGTGAGTTCCCTCTTGGCAGTCACCTGAAGGACTGGCAGTGAAAAAAGATGTGAAGTCACTATTACAACCTCCAGCTCCTCATTTCTCTGGGAAAAAAAAATCAGGCTTCACCCAAAACCTGAGCTGTAATTCTCCCCAGCTGCAGGTCAGAATGACATAGCTCATCTCACAGCCATTCATCACGCCATTCAAACCATGCATTGGTTCCGTGACCTCTACCATCAGTCACTTCTGTAGCCTGTAATTTAAAAAAAAAGGTGGGAAAGACGATGCTGGGGCTGGGCTGGGACGTACCTCGCACGATGAGGTCGGCAGCAGAGGCCACGCTGTCCACCTCTGTCTTCACCATGCACACGTACTTCCCGCTGTGCTTCAGCTGGATGTTCCTGATCATTAAATCCCCGGACGCGCTCTGGGGAACACAGAACCTTCATTAATGCAAGCGCTCCTCCCTCGATGTTTAGTGTGCTCTTTGGAAAGGGAAAGAAAAGAAATCCACCAAAAATGTGAGGTTGCTCAAAAGCCGCACTGCAGGACAGCAAATTCCTGCCCATCAGCAGCTCCAGGCTGGTTGTCCAGGAGCATCTTACCAAAAAACATGAGGGGATGTCTCTTTTTTGGGAGAAATGAGCTCCAACATGAGGAACTCACACTGGAAAGGCATCTCCTGCCTGGAACCCCTAGTAACCTCAGTGCCCTGTGACCATTTGTCTCAAAGCCCTAAAAAGAAAAATGTGTTTTCTGTGGCCATTACCAGTTTGATTTCTAGACAGAATTCATGGAGGTTTTATCTGGAACTTATAAGTCAAGTCATGACAGGTTTTCAAGGCGTTCAAATGTGTAAAAAACAAAGATGAATTCAGTCCATTCTCCAGGTTATTGTGAGCACTTTCATTTAAAGGTTGCACATTCTAGGCTGAATTTCCCATTTTACAAGGCCAAGTTCTACTCTTTGCTATTCACTGAGTATTTAATCTTTAGTCTTTTTTCCCCATAGCTCTCTCTCAGATCACAGCATGTGGCTATTTCCTGGATCATGGGAAAAGAAATAAAACCTGAATGAAACTGTAACTTCCTATGCTGTTAGGGCTCCTTGTGCACTGTTTGTTTTCTACACCACTGAACAGAGAACTTCATATTAAACCTTTGCTAAACAGTGTCCCTTAAAAATAAGAAAAAAAATCTCCTCTTTGTGTCAGCTCAATTACTGCCTTAACTCAGTTCCAGCTGAATTTACCAGGTGAAAAATGCCTCAGTCAGATTTTAATTTTTAAATTACAATTTTTCTGGACAAGCAGCATTTTCTTCAAGGACAGAACCCTAATTTGTGGGTATTTTCAGCTACTTTGGCCACTGATCCATTGGCAAACAGCAGTTTGGGAGAAAGGCAAAGCCATGACTTTGAGGTTTATTTTAGTCTTGGAAAAAACATGAACCTTTCAAAACATTTGATTATTTTCCTTTGTTTCAGCATTACAATGTCTCAATTCTTTACTCAACACAAGCTGAAGCCAATTCTGCCTGATTCCCTTCCATGTGTGTGCATGGTCTTCTGTGAAAGCACAGATGGAAGTTGTTTGCAGGACAATTCAGTGCTGATTGCTTACAATAAATTAAAAGTTGAGTCAAAAGCAATCTAAAATCCATCTCCTTGATTGGAAGTGGATATTCAGGGAATGCCCAACACCAGCAGCAAACGCAAGCAAATCACACCCTACACAAATTCTAGCAAACTCAACTTGAGACATCTCACCAAAGGGGAGGGGGGCTTCAAACAGAACAGATTTACTTGAAATAAACCTCAGCAAAATGTTAACTCTGCATTTCAGTTATTTGTGGGGGGTTGGGAAGAGTCTCAAGGGAGTGGGGAAGCAGCAGGAAGCTCCCCTGTGTTGCAGTAAAGCAGATGGGACTCAGTTTCTTTGTGGAGGAAAAGACAATTCTTTTGGGAGATTTTTGGAGAAGAGAAGAGAAGAGAAGAGAAGAGAAGAGAATTCAGCTCACCCCTCCAACCTTCTCCAAGTGGGAGGCATCCCTCTGGAAGTCCGTGAGGCTCCCGTTGAAGTACCAGGTGAAGCTGATGTCCAGCAGGGGATCGTGCTGCACCTGGCAGGGCAGCACCACGCTCTCCCCGACGGTGACATCCATGTTGGAAGGTGCCAAGGTGATCCTGGTGGGCTCTGCAGGGAGCACAGGCATTGGTTATTGGATTTTTCTGCTCTGCTGAGCTTTGCCTGCCACTGATATCCCCCCATTCCTCAGCTGGGATCAGTGACAGCCACTTGCTTCAATAAGACACGAAATAAAATTACACGCATGCTGCAACTCCAAGGAAAGAAGAAGGGAAGTTTATTTTCTGACTCCAACATTTATAGACTTTCAAAAGTGACAGCAGATTGGAGGATGAAATTGCCACCTCTCCAATGACACTGGAGAAACCAACAGTCCACCAGATTTCTCCTCCTCCAGAAAGGAATGCAAAACAATAATTATTTACATAAAATTGGGCGAGAAACTCCATTCCAAAAATGTGAACACCAGAAGGCTTAGAAGAAATTAGAACAGGGTGACAGCCACTTCCAGAGGTGCAGCTGGACTGGGAATGCTGCCTGGAGCTTTGTGTCCTGGCATTTCCCAGCAGGAGCTGCTTCAAAGGTGAATTTGAGCCTGCTGGGTGCAGCCAGTCCACTGCACCAAGCTGAATCCACAGGCAGGAATTGCCATGGGAGGCTCCCAGCAACCCCACTGGGTTTGGAAGCAGCAGCAGGCACTGGGGAGGTGAAACAGTGGGAGTAAGGGAAGAACCTAATAAACCCCAGAAACTGCAGGAAATCCACTTAAGGAGGAGCACACTGGATATTTGGGTCCATACATCACACAGAACATAAATAGTGTCATTAAGAACAGCTGTTTATTATCCCAGAATCAGATTAACGGAGAGAAATTTCAGCTACTGTAAATACTGTTAACAATAAAATTTAATTCTAGGAATTCTCTGTATATAATTTTATTATTTGTATATAAAGGGATATGAATCATTTAGGAGCACAGGCTGAAAACACAAAGCTGTTAATTCACTGAACAAAATAATTCTGTTTGGACCTATGAGATTTATAGGATATGTAATGCAGTGGGATATTAGATAATTCTGAGTTTGAGAAATGTTTCAGATATTAAAATCTTTGAAAAAGAACATTATGAGAGAAGACATTTTTCAGATGAACTTCACAAACTCTTGGCTCTTTTCATCCTGTATCTCAACCAGCAGCCAGGAATGGATGACTTGGAGGAAGGATCCCTCTGAACAACAATTCTGTATAAAATTTACTTTTCAAAGACTGTGTTCTACTGCCCATGGAGTCCCTGAATGCTTCCCTGCTGCTGGAGTTTCCACCACGTTTTTTTCCATAAGCAAACAGCATTTAAACCTCTTTTGGGCAAAAGATTTTCGACTGGAATACAAAATTACCTCAAAGATTTTTTTTTTGATTGACATGTTTTTTTCATAACAAATTAAAAACCCCCACGAACTTAAAAGCATAATTGCACTATTTAGTGTTTAGAGCAGTGAGAGGAGGGAGCAAGTGTTCAGAACTCCCTCACATGTGAGAAATATCTTTGTCAAAGACAGAAAAAATCCCTCAGTGTCTTTTACACTAATAAAAGAGCTGCAACAGCTATCCTTTTATCTTTATACATTAAATAAATAACTTCTCATAGCCTTTACATTCTGCCACACCACTGCAGGCTCCTGAGGCTGCAATTCCAGGTGCAGCCCCTGTGTCCCAGCTCACCCACCTGTAACTATCAGGCTGGTGGAGCCCCTGGCTGTTCCAAACTGGTTTGTGGCCAGGCAGGTGTAGCTGCCAGCATCCCCCTTGGTCACGTTGGCTATCCTCAGTCCTCCATCCTTCAGCAGACTGATCCTGAAAAATTACGAGGAGATTTTCAAAGTCGCAGCATCTGTAGACAAAATGCTTTCATGCTTTACTGTTATCTCAGACATGTTAAACTCTGTCAACAATTAAGAAGAAAATGAGCTCCATGCCAGCTGAAACCTGGGCAATTACCAGCCTGGGGTTTGAAAATGTTGTGACCATCCACAAGAAATTTGAACCCAACCATGTATTACTTGGGACATACTGCTCTGAACCAAACCAGCACAACCAATTTTTTAATGTGAGTGGGCACATGTATGGGTGTGAAAGAGAGAAATCCCAAGTGAGCTCCATCTTTTTTAGCTGCACCAAGTGAAACTGGAATAATTTTCAGCTCTTTTGTTGTTTACCTCAAGCAGTCTTGCACAGCAACTTCGAAATCACTGTGATTACCATGACAACTCCACTGGGTTGTTCATGAACTTCCTTTGTGGAAGGACTTGCAGGACAAAATTCTCTTCACCCCACACAGTGAGAGCAAGGAAAAGCAGGAAAGTGCTTAGAAAAGATGTGGACTGCAGAAAACCCATAGAGGGACAGAGGAGCAGGAATGTCCCCACAGCAGAGGTGACATCCCAGACAGCAGCACTGCTGATGCACAGGTAAGGCTGATTTGACTCCCTTTTTCCCTATTTCCTGTCCTCCCATCTGTTCTATTCACAGCTTCAGGGACTTCTACCCTAAGACAACCTGCAGCAGCAAAATAACCGAATATATAAAAAAATATCCACAGTATTAACAAGTTTGAAAAATTACCCATTTTCCTGATATGCCCAAGTCAAAAGAGCTTCAGAGCTTTTCTCTCACAGCCCATCAACCCATCTGAGAGGCACCAAACTGCAGCACAGCACCTTGGCTGGGTGGTGATTTGGAAATCTGGGAACTGAGCTGCAGAATGAACAGAGCAGCAAACAAACCCTCTCCAGGCAAAGCTCTGCCTGCATTAGCTGAGTCCTGCTCCCTTTTAGGGGAAGTGCCAGCTGAAAAGGCACAAAATGTCACCAAACTTGACCCTGCCACCTTCCCTCCCTCGGAAGAGCTGGGGGGGCTCTGCCTGCTCACTTCCACCTGCTGCTTCACTCAGTACAAAAGGAGTGAGTTCATCCCACACCTCTGCTGCTCCTTTTATTTTCAACACTCTGGAGGTAAAATGATGTCAGTAAATCCCTGTCACTCATCCCAGCTGAGTTCTGTGGCTAAATTCAGCTGTGTTAGGATCAGCTCTCCACCAGGCTGCAGTGAGGGGTGGCTCAGTCTCCTCCCAGGTGACAAGGAATGCCCAGGGAGGCTGAGACTGGATTTTGGGGGAAATTTCTCCATGCAAGGGTTCAGTGATCTTCTCCGGCACTCTTAACTCCTCTGACCCAAACCCACATTCCCTAAAGGCAAATCCCAGCAGTGGGAGAACTCCAGGGCTCTGGAATTCCACTTCCCCACTCCCCCAGCAGCAAATCCTCCTCATCCTCAAAGCCTTCTGGAGGCTTTTCCACCCTCTGAAAGCAGCAGTGTGCCCTCTGTCACAGCTGCACTATTCTGTACAAGGAAAACAGAGTTTTTGGAATTACAACACAGAAATATACACCACTTTTCAACGCTTTTCCCTTAATTAGTTCAAATTGCATTTGGTATTTCCCTAAAAAGGGTGTTTCAGCTCTCAGTGCTGTAGCTGAGCTGCTCTTCCCCTCGGCAGAGGTGGTGCAATAATGAAATTAGCAGATGCAAATTACAAGAGATAACAAGTCACCCTGTTAGAACAACAGACAAAAGCATCTTACTGGGGTGAGAAAGAGAGCTATAAATAGGCAGTTTAATCCATTTATAACCACAAAGCATCCCGAGGTACCTCAGCTGATGTGGTGGCATTTGAGGTGTTTTTTCAAGGGACGATGTGCCTCACCAGTGACTTCCCTGGGGTTCATTAACTTGTTTTGGAAAACTCCTCAGTCATATTTGGCTGCACTTCATGTTAGATGGAACATTTAAAATTAATTAAACCGTGCCATATGGTTTATAGGTATTTTAAATGTGTTAAAGACATGAGTAATACATTTTATAGGTAATTAGAATGACATCAAAAAAAGGTGTTAAAATATATCAATTATGGTTACAAGCAAGTGCTGTTGCACTTTCTAGCTGAGGCTTCATCTGCTTTGATGCAATTTCCAACAGAAAAAATACAAAACTAAAGAAACCCCAAGTGTTGACAAAGCCTAAGATCAAACAAAGGAAAAAGCAGGATCAGGGAATAAACCTGAAAATGTCTATTGTTTAATTAAAATGAATCACTTTTAGAGTGCTCTGAGCTACCTGCAAGCCCAGCTTGCCTAAAATAATTAAACAGAAAGCTTATTAAAACCCTGATATAATTAAGAATTTTTTTTTCCTAGAATTAAAAACAAAAAGCAAACAATAAATAATTAAACAGAAAGCTTATTAAAACCCTGATATAATTAAGATTTTTTTTTTTCTAGAATTAAAACCAAAAAGCAAACAACACATGGAAAAAAATAATTAAGAGAAAAATAATATAGCTGAAATAAAATCTTTCCTGGTAAATTAGAAAAAGAGCAATGTTCCACTTTTTCCAATTACAAAACAGTAAATGCAGCTCAGAGCCTGTGGAAACCCCAGCCCCAAAACCAGCTCTGCCCCTCCTGCTGAAACAGGAGACAAACCACAGCTGTCAGTTTACTTAGAATTATTCAATATTCACACACAGTGCTGGAACACTGCCAGGGAGAGACCCAGACCTGTGACACACACAAATAACAATCCAGCCTTTGGCATTCCTGTATCTACAGGTGTTTCCCCAAAACTTTTTGCTTAAGGCCAGCAATTTTCCATGGAAATTCCATTTTCCACAGCCTGCACCCTGCTGGTACCCTGGCAAATGGGCAAAACCTTCACCAGCCCTTCAAAAGGGACCATGGGGGAGTGATGGTCCTAAATCCACCTAAATTCCAGCTGGAGATGGATTTAGGACCTGCTTGGTCATCAGATCACAGCATCACTGACAAACTCATCATCTCTCACTAATTCCTGAGCAAAATTAGGGCAAATGGATGTCCAGGGAGATTCTTTTTCTCTACAGTCAAACAAAACCCCTTAACTCACCCTCACACTCTGACATTGAGGTCTGCAGGATGGGGAGAAGGATTAAACAACTTCAGGACTTTGGGGTTCCCAATTAGAGAGAGATTACACCTCTTTATACACCTATTTAAAAATTATACCTCTTTATATATTGGTATTTAGAGAGAGAAGACAGTGTGCCTCCACTGAAACCTGGTGTCATTAATGCAGCTGTTGACGACTGCAAACCTGTTCATCTTCCCAAGGCAATGGTTCATTTCTGAACTATCAAACAACATCAAACTCAGGAATCACTGCCTGTTTCATTTCTCAGATTATTCAGAAAAAAACCAAAACAAGCCCAACTATTTTAGATCCTTATTGATATGGTAATAAACACAAACACATTCCTTTCCAGTTCATAACACCTCAGTGCAAAGGAAGGGTGGAAAAGTGGGTCAAAGCTGTCTTTTAATGTATCAATCAAATTCCAACTAAATTAAAGCAGATTAATTAACAGGCAAGTCAGCAAAATAAAATCCTATGCAAGTGCTGGTAAGTAAATGCATTACTTTTCACATCACAGCATTTCAAACTGTAACACAAAATGAATAAAAATATTGAATTCAAATTGCAAGGAAGCTAAAACCATTAACTAATACTTCTAAGTACAGTGCAATTTTTTATCTGGAATTATTTCTTTCCCCCTTTAATTTGCCATCACTTGCCCACAATGAAAGCTGCTAAAACTGGAGTTTTCCTAGGGGAATTCCACTGGGAAGTCTTTTAGTGAAGTTTTTGCAGCATCTTCTCACCTTTCTCTAGTCTTGGTAAATGCAGAAATATCTAGGAATAAAGGTGAGTTTGTTTAAAGGTGAATTATTTTTAAATGCTGCTCTGCATTTTTACAAATCCTGGTTTTTAAACCTCTTCCAGTCAGGTATTTGAGTCAGAAGTTCAGACCCACTACAGCCCACAGGCAGCGACTGTCAAGCACAAACTGAAAATTAAAAGTCATGTACATACATAAAACATTAAGGAAATCTTGGAAGGGGTTATGTCTGGACAACAGCTATTTTAGTATTTATTCTGGTTTTAGTGAGTTAAACCAGCATCAGGAGCATTTAACCTTGGTTAAACATCTAATCCTCCTTTTCTGGAGGATAAAAAGACAACAAAAATTCATCCATCCAGAGGTGGAGGTGTCTCAGACACCCGATGAATTTAATTCCCATTTTCTGTCTTCCCTTCTGCATGTTATCCTATGCTTTCACTGCTTTCTGCACTCCAATGCTCTTTAATATTTAGCTCTCTTTATTAAAGATATTCTAGGGAAAAAAAAAATCACGTACTTCGCAAAATTAACAAGAAACAAGATTGCTTTCTTCAATGCTGAGCGATTTCTCAGCCCACAGCTCATGAATCCATTTTGAATTATATTTTCTCCCCTCCACAAGACACACTATATTCAGCTCATTTAATTAAAATTTACTGAGTCATTATCCCAATCTTCTACATACAGAAAAAGCAGCACCATTTAAAAATAAATTAAGAACACGAGCAACAGTGCCATCAAAATGAAACTCTCTCAGGCTTTACTAAAGCATTGTGGTCAGTACCTCAGTGAAACCCAAGCTCTCTGATGACAAGAAATCCAAGTATTTGTGCTTTATCTTTATTATTCAAATAGGAGTTTTCTTAAGACATGCTTCTGAAGTTTTCTTAGCCATGCTGCTGCAAATGTAATTAAAATTCAGCTCCTTTTGCCTCCCCACCTCTCCCAGGTGTTGCCCATGCTGGACCTCCCTTGTGGCAGGATCTCATTCCTCCTGCTTGCTGCAATTAAAGAAGAGGAAACCCTCCCCAGCAGACTTCTCCACTGGAAATGGAGTTCAGGGCTGAAAAATGTACTGCTAATTTGAAACCCTTTCCTGAATTGCAGGAATTTGTACAACTGCATGAAATTCACGAATTGCAATTATTCACAGCAGACAGTAATGAACTCCAGGGTTTTCTGCAAAGAGCCTCACTCTGCTCTTCTCCAAAGGCAAGTTTATTTCATTTAGATTAATTCAGGATTACTGCCTTGTTATTGTGCTTCCTCTGGAAGCCATTTACAGTATGTTGTCAAAAATACACGCTCTGGGTCATATTTTGGAATTACCTGCACTTGGCAGAAGTAACAGCTGTAATTTATGTTCATAAACCTAAAACAGGCAGCATCACATTCAATTCATTTCTGCAAACTGAGTGTTGATTTCTTCAGCCTGGTACTATCACACCAAATGAAACTGATACCATTCTACTTTTTATGGAAATAGAATGGGGAAAAAAGCTGGGAATTTTCCTGAATATACAAAATCAGGCGCTGTGTGGTTTTTGCATACACTTCACAAAAGCAGTCATAAAAATAAAACTGACTGAGATCCATCAAAAGGCAACAAGTTTCACATAAATTTTAGAGGTCATTGTTTAATTTAACACGTTAATACTGTTTAATTAAAGGCTAGAAGTAGTGCTATTTTGAAAGGGATTGTGCTGGCTTGCTTGCAGGCAGGCAGCCAGTGAGGCTGTGGCACCACGTCCAGCTCTGCAGCAACAGATGCCCCAACTTCTGCCAAATTGTCACATTTGACAACACTTAACACCAGAACTCATGAAAACTCTTGAGGCCCCTGTGAACAAAGAGCCAGGGCAAAGATGGCAGTGCCCAAAGCTTCTGGGTACAAGGAGACAGCTCCAGCCACAAAATAAATGGCACAAATAAAGGTGGCACAAAGAGGGCACAAATAAAGCTCTCCACTGAAAATTCTACAAGTTTTATCTATCTGGGAGCAACTTCTGTGTTTAAAAACTGTGGAAGAAAAGCAGAACGAGGTGTTTTACAGGAGTAGGACCAGAAGAATTTTGTCTAGTTTAGAAGCAGGTTCCTGATGCCAGGCTAAGCTTTGCACAAATCAACACCCAGTCCTAGAGGAGCAGGACACACTCCTTAAATCACATCACAATGGCATGGCAATCCTCCTTCAGACCCTCACGTCTGCTTTCCTCAGTGTCATGCCTGGCCTTCTGGACCCTCTCTGTCCATGAATTATCCTGCCAAGCACAGTTGTGACACCAGAGGAACAGGACAGCGAGTGCCCTCACTGCTCCCAGCACACCCAGCTGTGACCTTCCAGAGCTGCTGCTGGCACTGCAGCCCGTGCCCAGCTCAGGCAGAAGGGCTGACCTGGCCCAGACTGAGCTCCCAAAAAACAATTCAGGCTCCTCTGAGCGTGCAGAGCCTGCCCTGAGCACTGAAGTGCTGCAGCTGGAGTGCCCAAAGTGCCACACTGCCATGCCAAATGACACCTGTAACCATCTCAGCCACATCTGCCCTCCAAGGAGCTCCTGTGCTGCCCCAGCTCCCTCCCTGCAACTCCCAGCCTGTGCAAATACTGAAATGGAGAACAGAAAGGCTGGGAAGTCAGCAACGCCCAGTGGGAGTGTTGCATTCACATTTTCTGAAAAATCTCTTTGCCCAGGATTTTTCTCCTGGGAAGCAGAGAAGCCTCCAAGAAAAAGGAAAACAATTATTATTTCATTTCCTTCTCCTGTGTTTTGCTGCTTTGGAATGTGGTTGGAGATTGTTTCATTGGATTCTCCTGTGAGTTGTTTTGACTCATTGGCCAATCAGTGCCAAGCTGTGTCAGGTCTCTGGAAAGAGTCACGAGTTTTCATTATTATCTTTTTGGCATTCTGTAAGTATCCTTTCTGTATTCTTTAGTATAGTATTCTTTTATATAATACAGTATCATAAAATAATAAATTAATACTGAAATGGAGAACAGAAAGGCTGGGAAGTCAGCAACGCCCAGTGGGAGTGTTGCATTCACATTTTCTGAAAAATCTCTTTGCCCAGGATTTTTCTCCTGGGAAGCTGAGAAGCCTCCAAGAAAAAGGAAAACAGTATTATCTCATTGCTTCTCTGTGTTTTGCTCCTTTGGAATGTGGTTGGAGATTGTTTCATTGGATTCTGCTGTGAGTTGTTTTGACTCATTGGCCAATCAGTGCCAAGCTGTGTCAGGTCTCTGGAAAGAGTCACGAGTTTTCATTATTATCTTTTTAGGATTCTGTAAGTATCCTTTCTGTATTCTTTCGTTTAGTATTCTTTAATATAATACAGTATAATAAAATAATAAATTAGCCTTCTGAGGACATGGAGTCAGATCTATCATTCCTTCCTTCCTCAGGGGACCCTGCAAATACAAGATGGGAGAGCCCTGTGTTGTCTTTTTATAAAGTTTAACCAGCACACCTGTGCAGCTTCAGTTTATGACTAATTCAATAATGCTTTAATGGGTATTGCTGGAAAAAAACCATTTATATGTTGCTGGAAATCAATAGCTGGGGCTGTGGGTGAATTCCAAACTCCCCTCTGAGAATTACAATCCCAAAACACAACCACGATCACCCTAACCCTCACAAATAAACATGAACAATGATGGCATCTGTTATCCCTGGTAGGATCATGGCTGCTTGGAAAGAACCTGGAAGTGCATTTTCCTTGCCTTTTCATGTTTTCATCTGCTACTCTGGACCTCCAAATTAACTTTTCTCTCTTTTCCCAGCTGTATGATCCCCATGGCTGTAACACATCTCATCTGCCCCTTTGCCAACATTTTCAGAGCATTTTGTTGAAGCCTTTTAGTATTTCTGTACAGACTTTGCATTCCCAGTTTTCTATCAGTACCTGGCTCTCTCTAAATCAGGCCCAACTCTACACTAAGATGAAAACAAAATCTGACCCTTGACCTTAGAGAAAGAAGCACACTTGCCCTCTCAGTGCTCTCATACCAGCACAACAAAAAAACAAGCAAAAAACCCCAGGCCAGCCAGACTTCAGAGACTTTACAAGTGTTTGGATCCACAGCTGACACTACTGCATAAAAGGACACACAAAAGCTTCTTGTAAGATTAAAACAAATAAACCAATGTAACGTGATACCTTTCATTTTCCTGTAGCTTCTCACCTCCCTTCTTCCAGGAACATTTGGCCTTAGGGAAAGCTTTGGGTTTGCACTCAAAATCAACTGTGCTGCCTATCTGAACCTGGATCAGTTTCTTCATTGGACTCTTGGAAAAATCTGGAGCAGAAGCTAAAACAGAAGGGGTAGTAGCAGTGAAATAAAGCACTTTTAATGACATTAATGATACTACTAGTTAGCACTTACACGAGCACTTCTCACATTCCAAACGTAATTAACACCATTAATTAGTTCAGACAGATCTTCTATTGGGCAATTAGGCATTTTGTCCTCCTTTCCTGTACCTCATTCTGCTACCAAAGGTCTCAGCTTGCCAACAAGGCAAGCACAGAAGATCACAGCCACCAAAGCTGAATGAACCCAGTTTCATGTTCAGCACCTGCCCAGGTGAATGCTCTGCTGAAGGGAGCAGATTTACCCAATGAATCTAATTAATATCACACCAGGAGCCTCACTGAACCTCAGGGAACTGGAATGTTCCCAGTTCCACGTGCCACTGGGTGCCAGATGTCAGCAAATGCCAGTGCAGCTCCTCCTGGGTGAGGTTTTCATGAATTAAGTTTGGAGAAGGCTCGCGGCCTCTCCCTGTGTAACACTGAACTTGCAAAGGGAATTCAGTGTTTGAGGAGCCTGGTGTGCTCATCCACACCACCAAGGGAACAACCTGTGTCCCCAAAGCACAGCTACAGCTCAGTGTGGACTGTGCTGGAGGCAGAAATGGCACAGGTCAGTCAGTCCCCAGCTGTGCTCCCTCTAACAAACAGCTGTGACGACTCCAGCCCGGGGGTGGCTCAGTGTCACTGCCTGTCCCTGGCTCCTGGAGGGCTGCACACAGAGGTTTTTAAGCCCAGGGTGTCCCTGAGCCCCCCACAGGAGTGAGAGCAGCTGATGGAGGCAGCAGCACCTCCGCAGCACACCAGGGGTTTAATCCCAAACCCCCCATCCCTGCTCTTCCCCTGTGAATAATTTATCCTGCTCTGTTTTAAATGGATGATTGGCCTGAAAATCCTCTGGCAGCAGATGACTCAACTCCTCAGCTCCGCAGATAAAGACATCAGGTTGACAAAAATGTTTTATTTCAGTGACAGCAGCTGAGTGAGTTAAATCTGAGGTGCAATCTGAGGGGGTGTGGAGGGATAATGAGGTTTGTGTTTTAGTGAAAAAAGGAACATCTTACCTACAACCCTGAGCTCTGCACTCGAAGAGATGACACCATGTTTATTTTCAGCTATGCACTGGTATCTGCCAGAATCTGTCAGATTTAGATTTGATATTGTAAGTGCACCATTTTCAATTTGGATCCTTCCCTGAATATTAAGAAAAATATCTTTATTGATGATATATTTCCTGTTAAAATTTTAAAATAAGTAAGGAACAGAAATAGGACAGCATAAATACAATGGAGAGGGTAAATGCAAAAGCACAATCATGAGAACAGTTCTAAAAGAAGTGACAGGACTGCAGCATGGTACAGCAATGGTGATCAGATATGGAGATTGATGCAGTGTATGAAGTAATTCTTCAAGTTTTCGCACTTGCACTGAGGACTGGCAATCTCAAATGCCCTTTTATTTCTCCAGAAATACTGACAGAATCCTACCAGCCCCCTCAGACAGACCAGAGCATCCAAACTGTGCAGATGGCCCTGGCATTTCACACTGTTTAAGAGATTTCACATGTGCCACTTGCTAATGAGCTCTCTGTAACACTGCAGAGAGAATTCCAGCAGCCATTAAAGCAAAGACACAAACTGAAGGGCTTGGAGCCAGCACAGCTACTCAAGTATCTGGGACTCCTCACCTTGCTTATTTTGGAAAGCTCAATTACAGCAGGAAGTGTCTGGTCTGAGAGGCAGAACTGGTGACAAAAGGAACCGGTGAGAAAGACAAAACCAAGGGAGCAGCAGCTTTGGGGAACAGCCTCTGGGGGAAATCAGACACAGGAATGCACAAAACCCCAAACTGCCTGCCCAGGAGTGTTTCCTAAGGGCTGCTTTTGGATCTGGCCCAGGCACAGGGAGACTCCAGGACAGCTCAGCTCCTTCCCTGACAGCTCCTGAGCACAAGGGGCTCATCCAGACACACAGACAACAACCCCAAAGGGGAGAAAGCTGAGTGTCCACGTCTTGATCTCCTCTGTAGCATCCCAAGCTGCTGCTCTTAGGGAAGATTTGTCCATGGAGAAGGAAAGAGCTGAGTGGAACACATTCCTGTGAAGGAGACCCAGCAGGAGGGATTACTGCATCAAGGAGCAGAGGACACCGGACCACTGCACACAGAACTCCTCTGGAGCCTGCCAGTGCTGGCTCCCACAGAGCTCCCTCACTCTCTCCAGGGGAAGTCACAGCCAAAAGGCTGGACAGCAACGCTCCAAACTGGAGAAACAGGAGACTGAATGATTCCAAGGTATTTTTGTACCTAATGAGGTAAAAAAAGCCCATTGCCTCAGTGACTCTGGATGACACAGCAACAATGCTCTTAAATCACCCAGAGGAGATTTTGTGCTCCCTCATTTAACCTGTCCACAAAACACCACCACTCCTTTTAGCCAGCATGGATCTAAGAAATGCTTTCCAGTGCTCTGCTCATTTTTCAGAACCATCCAGTGAATTCACTCATGCTGAGCACAAGGCACCGGCCAAGGGCAGAAGTGCCTGGAGTTCACATTCCTGATAACCTGAACAGGGCTGCTTTCCAACAGAGCAGTGAGACTTGAAATCCATAAATAAGGGGTATCAGATCCTGTTCTGCATTTCTGACCTCTCCCCTTCTAACGTCAACCTCTCTTCCCTGTTACCAAATGCATTAATTTCAATTAATTTCCTATGACAACTGCACTAAAGCAAATATCTGTGTTATGCTGCTGTTTGTATTCCATTCTTTGCAACAAGTAGTGCTAAACTCTTGGATCTTCAGGAGTTTTGTCAAGAAGTTGGAAAATACTTTCTTACTACTTTTAATGGAACGTTGGCTGCAAATACAGTAAAATAATTCAAGCTCTCCATCCCTTATTTATAGTTCTTTATTTAAAACATTATTAAACTCCCATTTCCAGTTATTCCTTACACGTTTATTTCTGTGATTCTATTGTTTTTTAATCTGCTTTTAGCTGGAATATTTCTGTACAACATAATTTGTCTTTGCTGCTATTGAGGCTTCATCAAGATGCTCTCAAAAAATACAAACCCTGTATCAAAACTTCTCTTGATTAATACCAGGGAACTCTGGATTCTCTTATTTGCATGGATATTGTTAATTTTACACAGTACCACTTCTTCCCAACAGAATGTTACCTCTATTGCCAGCTGCTCTCCATTCTTCAGCCACCTGTAGGATGGTTTGGGCTTCCCACTCGCTCTGCAGTCCCAGTACAAAGTGTCCTCCACAGCAACTTCCACATCCTTTATGCTCTGGATCCAGTGGGGCTTTGCTGCAGGGAAAGCACACAACAAAGACCCCCACAAGTTACTGCTCCTGATGGCAATTGAAGGGTTAATGGGCACAGAACTCATCCATTTTCTGCACAGACTTGTCTGTACCAACAGAGCTTCCCACTGCTTCTGCTCCAAGCCCCCTGATGAAACAAATCACTTATTATTCCTCTTACACGTTTTTATTATGAGCACTAAACCCGAAGAAAACTGAGAGTACAGATCACTAAAGCTGGGCTAGTGAAACCAATATTAAAATCACTAATGATTAAACAACATCACTTTGCAATCGAGGCAAATGTAAGAGAAAGACATTAATGGCAAGACTGAAATTAAATAAGTGATGTGGCTAAATCAGCAAATTAATGCTGAAGAGAATCCTTTAAGTCTTAAAAAAAAAAATAATGGTATGTCAGCCTTAGTGCTAAATACCATTTAAATTGCTTTCTAATGCAAGGCAGTACTTAACTGCATGGAAACATGGATATATGAGATTGTTTTTGAAAGCAGAAGTCTTGGCACAGAATTTGGGTAATGCAAACCAGCAGAATAAAGTCCATAAAAATCACTGTTTTTTTAAGCCAAAATTTGAAGCAGCAATACCAGACATCCTTCAGAATTACCCAAAATACAGTTAAAACTGTAAAGATATTTAAAACATGCATTACAGCTTTCACAGGAAGGAGAAAGCTCACTTGGCATATAAACACCAATGCATGAAAGACAACAGTAATTTATTTTTATTCCTCTAGTGCTGTTTCACACATCAGTTCAACACTGTCTTATAGGTAATTTGTGAAATTTCTTTGAATTTATTTAATTTACTAGAAAGTTTATGATCTCAGCCTATGCTATTTCTCCAAGAAAAGATAAATTCTGGACAGTGTGTATGGAAAAAACAGATGAAAGAGCAGGGTGAAACTTGGCTGCAAACTCTCAGCTATGGGCAAAGAATCTTCCAGAGACAATTTGCTTATCTTAATTCAGGAAAATCTCCTACCACCCTCATATAGAAACAGCAGGGAGAAAACAAGTCCCTGGTGATGTAGGAAAACATTATTTACTGCATGAGTTTAGGAAGGACAGAAGGTCAGATTAATTCCCATTGAACCTCCCACTACAATGGAGTTCAGCAGCAATTAACTCAGGCCAGGGAAATTAATGATTTGCCCACGGGCATGAGGGAGGTGGGCACAGCTGAGAGCTGAACCTTTCCATGCCACAGCACCAGCCAAGCCAGGCCTGGATCAGGGCTGGCACTAATTTAATTTTAAAAGATTCCTCCTTTCCTAGCATGGAAATTTCCTCTCAATCCCAGGCTCTGCAATGCAGTGAAAAGACCTCAACATGACCATGCACAGCACCAGGCTTTTATGATAATGACTATTAATCTAGTTATAATTTATATATCCATATTTAGGGTTAACTCCTTACATAAGAACTTCCTAAAATGCATTCACTGAAGTTTTAACTACTAATAAATATTGGAATTCAACCAGTATTTGCTGACAGTGAAACCCTCTGAATATTACTTTTTTCCACATCCCTATGAGGATTAACACCTTTCACAGATTTGGGGATAATTTATTTTTTTCACCCACTTTATCAAGGTCAGCTGCAAAACACAGGATGACCTTTGTGTCATATGGATGTACAATTTCACTGGTATTAGGTGAGGTTAAATCTCCAAAGTCCATGTTACAGCACTGGAGTTCAAGCCAGCCCTTGCTTCATCCCACATTCTCACTGGGAGAATTTGCCCCACGTGTGTCAAGGGAATGAAAGCTCAGGGCTCCATGTAAAGAGCACTTTGCACACCTAAATATTTATGCAACATTCAGCAGTGCCTGAATTACTGATGGATCCATACATGTGGAATATTTAACATCTGCTGCCCATCTCCACTTGGAAGTAGGTTAAATATAATCTATTTTCAAGTCTAAAGATCTTGGATTCCATTCTACCAATTAAAAAATCTTTGTCTGTCTAATCTTGTTTCAGGATGTGTCAGGCAGTCTCCACAGGAGGGTTTCCCAAGTTCCCACACAAGACAATAAAGCAGAAATGCACAGAACAGCTTCCCAAGGCACAGGGTGAGGAATTCCTGCTGCTTGTCCATGCACAAGAGAGTGCTGATGGAGACTTCAGTGATTTCTTGGAGGAAGGCTCTTTTTGTCTTCCAATTCCTGACGGAGGAGTTGAGCAGGAAGAAAAGCACCATTTTCAATCTGTCTTTGAAAGAGAACAATTCCATCAACCAGCTCAAAATTGAAAAGGCAGCTTAACAGGGGCAATTCCAGCTGGGAATACTCTGAGTCCTGGCCAGGATAAAGGTGCTTCATGTGCTGAAAGCAAGTCAGAAAATCAGAAAGCAGCTCTGATACTGCTCTGGTGCTCTGACACCCTCCCAAAACAGGAGCAGGACTTGCCAAGCCCAGCGCTGCCCCTTTCTGCTGAGCTGTGCCTGAGGACACCTGAAGGACTCTGAATAAACAGCTTTATTCCCTTCAAGGTTTAGTCACTGCCAGGCAGATTTTAGCCCAGAAGATCTGATCCCACCACCACTGCCACAACCGTGCTCCTGAAGGAAGACTTGGTAACAAAGCCTCATTTTCTCCTGGAATTACTGCAGAGTAATTGTGAAACCTGGATCTTCCTGAGGAGAGAAAAAGGAGTCACTTCTTCCTAAAGCAAGGAATAAGCAGGCAGCACATCCTTGCTGAGATTAAAAAAAAAAAAAAAAAAAGATGTTGTCCTGTAAACCGAGAGGCTGGAAGTTAATTTTAACTTCACAGTGCAGGGTTGGAGGCTGTGACAGGAATCCGTATTGTACCCCCTAAAAAAAAAAAAAAAAAGATATTGTCCTGTAAACCGAGAGGTTGGAAGTTAATTTTAACTTCACAGTGCAGGGTTGGAGGCTGTGACAGGAATCCGTATTTTGGGATAATATCAAGAATTCTTGGGAACTTGCTGTGCAATCTTCATGAAAGATTCATCTGGAGCTCCCCCAGGACGAAATGCTTGTAGGTAAGTGATTTTCTAAAGCAGGTTAGCCGTCAGCTCCATGGCCAGTCACTTGGAAAAGCACCAGCCTGGATTTTGCTTCAGTTGTTTCAGCCTAAAATATTCCTTGCAGTGCTCAGGGTCCCAGAGGCAAGGAGAGAACAAGTGTGTAACTTCATAAAAAGCATCCCAGTGAGAGGCCTCTCTCATCTTTTCTGCTGGTTATGATGACCCTGCTCTCCCAGCCAGTTAAGCCTGCAGGAAACAACTGTTGCTTCATTACACTCCAGGCCTTCCCTGTAGGCCAAAAGGGAAAGAAGAACCATTTTTTTCAGATTTCACAAAATCCTTTGTCATGTCCTCGGGGTTGATGTGAAGGAAGACCAACTGCAGGGATGCTTTTGGCTGAAGAAGTGACACTTACCAGAGGCTGTGCTGGGATTTGTGAATTATTTGTGGGCTAACCACACACAGTGCATCAAAACACGTATTTTTATGTATTATTTCCTTCAGAGTGAGAGAATCCAACAAAAATCTGTTTTTAATTCTACAGGCCAGGGGAAGGGAGTGAAGGGAAGGCAGAATTTCAGGGCCATGACTCCTGCAGGGAGTTCTGTGTCCTGCTGGGAGCCAAAGCCCTGGGGAGCTCCTCCAGAACAAAGATTCACACAAGACGTTTCCTTTTTACTCTTGCACTTTGACATTTCACCATGAAAGCTGGGCTGGAAATCTCTGAAACACCTCTGTGCAGCTCAGCAGCTGGGCAAGAAAATCAGAGCAGAAAGAACCTCGCAGAGCACAAGAGGGGAAGTTGTGATCAAATGGGGAAAACCCCACCCCAAAAGCGTAACCTGCAGTTTTCCTGCCTCAAAGACAGGCTCTGACACTCCCACTGATGAATCCTTATTTCATCTCAAAACTCCAAGGACTTCAAGGACAAATCACTTTTGTTCTGCTGAGCCAGCTGGGACTGGAGAAGCAGCTGACACATCTCTGAAAATGTCCATTTTCTGGCTCCCACTGGAAAATAAGAATGCCCTCAAGCAACAGGTAATTCCAAATCACAGGGCAAAGACTTAGTATGTAAAAGAAGAAAAACTATTTGTCTGGGCAGCAAGAAAATTCTATTATTAGACAGCATTAACAATTAAACTCTAGGTGATCAAACTCAGCAACTCATTGATATTATTCAGTCATTTGTAACTTTGCTGTTGATGTTTTGAAGACATGCCAAGCACACGACTATCAGATAGAACCTTTAAACAGAGATATTCTTCCACATACACAAACAGCAGTTTCAGTTTAGTTTTGCTGATAGATTATTTTTAAAAAACCCCAAAATATACCAGTATTTTTTAACACACTAAAAAAGTGAGGTAGATCCTACTGATTCCTGGGGGATTTTGTCTTTGTTATCACAGACCAGCACTGCAAAGCAAAAGGAGAAAAGCAGCAGAATTTCTTTCTCCTTGTCAAACATTTACCTTGGTACTGCTAAGCAGGACTTCTGGTATATCAGCATGGGCTAATTAAGAATATACTTCCTTCAATTACACTTTAAATTAATTGCTTTACATATCTTTACCGTGCTTCATGTTTAATTGCATCCTAACAAAAAAATGCAATTGTTTCATCTCCTCTCATTTTTCTCTGCCATGAAACATCTCCCTGGATTCTTTTTTTTCTGTTATCTCTTTGTGGGAAGCTAAAAGCGATGACAAACGAACGCGCTAATAAAGGGAAAGCAAATTATTTAAATCTTCAGGTTCTACATTCAATCGAAGTTGGATAATCTTCTCCTATTTTTAGCAAAATCTGAACTCTCCTGAGTAGAAAAGTGGCATTTAACAAATGTTGGAACTATAAAAAGGACAAAAAACCGGAACATTTGATGTCAGGCTTTTCTTGATAAAATCCTTCAGGAGAGAAAAGGAAGATTAATAGTCTGTGAGTATTGCCATGAACCCAGAATATCTGGTCTAGAATATCTATTTTAATTATCAATGCCAACTATGGGTTAAGACCTATATTTAAAACACACCATAACTATAATAAAACAGACTCATTTAATTTCTTTCAGGAGTCACAGATGTGACAGATTTATAGGAATTCTTGGGAAACTGACTATGGACAGGAGAAAAGTTGAGCCTGTATTCAGGGCTTTGTGGCTTCAAGGCTCATAATAATTCATCCAATAATTCATTGCTGGATGAAAAAGGAAGGCTTTTAACCAAACTATTTATGAACTGGAAAACCTGATTTTCAGATTTTAAACTTTGCAGTTTCAGCTCATAAAACAAATCAGAATAGAAGTGTTTCACTTTGTACCAGAGCAATGAATATTTCAAGCTTTGGTTTAAGACCAGCTTTATGTTACATTTACAAAGAATCCTTAAAGTTTGCAAAGAAAGGAAAACCTATTTTTCAGGCACATCAATGATTTTTATCAATATTTTTTCTGCCTAAAGATTTATTTTTCATATTATTTCACCATGACAACTTGCAAAACATTAACCCCAATCCTTCTCGTACTGTTTTTTTTTTTTTTTTTTTTTTTGTTTGTTTTTTTTGTGTGTGGTTTTCTTTTTTTGTTTGTTTTTTTTTGGTTTTTTTTTTGGGTCAGGCAGAAATGTGCTTTGTTCTGTCCAGAAGAAAATTAATGTTGTGACTATTGAAATAAAAAGACATTTGTACTTTTGTGATGTTTATATTGTTCTATGTTTGATAAGCAGACATGCCTTAAACTTCTACCAGTAAAGTGTTCTAACAGCAGCCACCATTCCCTAAAAACAGCAGATTTGTGGATTTTTGACAGCATTGGTACTTTCTGGCAGATGGGTGATTTTTTACTCTATGTCTCCAGTTTATTACATTAGTTTCCCCCAAATCCTCATCTGCTTTTAGAACAACTTCCTCAAATATTGATCTTTTATTGGAAGGCTGAGTGGGATGTGGTTAGATTTCTTCACCAGACAGATTTCTGGGCTTTGGCACCAGACAAGGTGGCAATCCATCAGAAGATATTATCTTCAGTTATAAAACTTCAAATTATCAAAAGAAGTTATAAATGCTCTTATCCCAAATCCAGGCTTGTTGGAATTCTAACTGCAACAACAAAGCAAGCACCAAAATAAGAAAGATTACTTAAATCTATTTAATTCTGCAGAATGGGTTCCACGAAGCAGAACAAATGAAATGAAACAGTTGGAGTGCCATTATTGCCATTACAGCTCTCATTACTCTTCTCAAGATAAACATCCATACCAGGGGTGACTCCTGACATGGGCAGCCATTCCTACTGGAGTAGGAACTCCATCTGAGGGTTCAAATCCCTGTCTAGATTTGCACTGAAAACATTCACAATGATTCCTGCAGTTGGACTGCTTTTGTTCATTAGCAGCATCCTTTATTTCAGCTCTGTGGCATTTTAATGAGCAAAGAAGAATTTGGGCAGCAGGGCAGGAACCCTAGGAATGGCCACTGCTGGAATTACAGGGACTGATGAACCTGGAATTACAGGGACTGATGAACAAATCCACTCTATTTTATACCTAATTTCTCTAGCTATTTTTTATCTACTCTAATTTCTAATTTACTGTGATGTGCCTCACAACTGCCCCCATTTGACACTGCCACAGGAATGTTGAGCCAAAATGATGTACAAACCCCAACTCTGGAACTTTCACACAAAAGTGACCTTTTATTAAGGTCACTTAATAAAAACTTGTAAATTTTATTTAAAAATAAAATGCAGTGCCAAGAGTTTGTCATAGCAGAGGACACTGGCAGGTGAAGCAGCTTGGATTTATTACCCTATGTCAATCACAGGATTTCTCAAAAAGTCATAATTACAATCAGTGCCTGGGTAATTTGTGTTGATTCAAGTCCCCTGTCCAACCTGACCCTGAACATTTCCAACAAAGGGGCCTTCACTCAGTGTAAAGATTAATTTGGAAGTTGGCAAGGAGAAGAATTTTTCTTCCTCCTTATAAAGTCTATTGTGCCTTAAACTAAAATCTTCAAGGACTAAAATCTGTGTGTTTTACCAGGCAGCAGCTCCCCATGGAGAGGCAGTAAAGAACTTGCTCCCAGCTGCAGAGGAGCTGTGCTCCGTGCCTTTACCCAACTCAAAACCCATCTCCTTGCTCAAATATTCCTCCATGAGGGAAACATTCCAAGGCAGAGTCAGAATCACTGTTTAAATTGCCATTGAAGTAAAGAAAATTATATTTGCTGAGATCTGGCTTTAACAAAAATTGTCAATTACCACTTTGTAGCAAATCACTCTCGCTTTACACCACCACCAGTGTGCTTTGCTGATGCTCATTTCACTCTATAGCCTCAAATGCACAAGAGACTGCTTTTTTCCCAGCTATAAAATTTCATATTATTTCATTTCCTATACTGGATTATATCCTCCCATTTATTTACTCATTTTAAAATAAAATTGGCTGTTTTGAAAGCATAGGATTGAGAATATCCATCAGTAATCTTTTCACAAAGCAAGACAAAATTTGTACTTCCCATAAATGGGAGGTCTAAATGATCCCCCAAATAAATCCAATTGACTGAAAATTGAAGGTTTCACCAATGGACCAAGAAGAAATGTTTTTTTTAAAAAAAAAAAAAGTCTTTCCACCAGCAAAAAATCCAAGCACAAGCACACTCTGCTTTACTCTCAGCAATCCTTGTGAGCTTTTAAGCCATTTCTTAGAGACCTTACCAAGAAATTGCTGCAGAAGTTCTCGTTTTCTGGAAGGACTTAAATACCATGGATTTTTAAGCCCAAATGGAACTGCAAAAAGTGGAAATCCCAGAGTACCCCAGAGCGTTTCATGAGTAAAGAAAAGTGGGAGAGACAGAACAGAGGTCTCCTACCATAGTAAGTGAGACGTCCTCTTGCAATGTTTTTGCCCCTGGAGTTTTCAGTAATGCATTCATAGAGCCCTGCATCCTCCTGCTGGAAATTAGGGATTTCAATCATGCCATTGGATTTCCTCAGCTTTATTTTACTTGGAAATGGCAGCCCGTCAGTTCTTCTCCAGTTAATCTGAGGCACAGGGCTAAAGAGAGAGTAATGAGATTTTAAACAGTTTTGCTTAAAGCCCTTGATTGTCATAATGAGATACTTAAAGCAAACTAAATTCAGCAGTGACTTCCAGGCTGTGTTAAAAGCAGTAACCACACTGTACATGACAGATGGTCAGACACTCAGGCACCTGATTTGCATTCCCTGCTGATTCCCACGCTGCATTTGTGGTCCCAAATTTGTCAGGAGTAACTCTGTGAACGCCCAATAATTGCAACATTTCTCGTAAATCAGCACTGGCCTCCCCAGAGGATGGGTGAGATTTGCCAGTGGTTTCTTCCAAGGATCAAGAATCCATGCAGGTCTTTTGGAACTGCCATCCTCCAGCAGCCTTTAATTCTCTGATTTGCAAACTTTCCCTCCCCTCTGCAGGGAGCCAAAGCAACAGTGTGTGATCAATTTATCAATCTGATATGGGCACCTGACAAACTGCCTGCAAACAAACCCCACACTGGTAAATAAATACATTTACAGAAACACAAATGCATCCTCAGATCATCTGCAAAAGAGAAAAGGTATCAGCTGTGAGTGAAGCATCATTCAGAGGAGAACTGCATTTCAATCTTTATTTTAGCTATAAAGAAAGAACAATATTATGAAAGCATCAAGTACATTTAAGGGGAAAATTCAAACAACATTCTCACAGACTTCAGCATCATTTCCTTGAACAAAGAAAAGAGACTTAGCTCAAAGGTCATATGCAAAACCACACCGGAGTTAATTTGAAATGAAATGTAAATTCCTGTGCTGCCAACATACACATCTTAATTCTAAACAAAATCAAAATACACTCCAAGAGTCTTTGCCCTCTCATTTCAAGGCAGGAGCTGTGATGACCAAAATCAGGGAAACACCAGAACCCCACAGACCCTTGTGCAGGTGAACCCAAAGGTGCTTCAGCTTCCAGGCAAGATGAACACTTACTTTCCCAGTGCAAAGCACTCCAGCTTCACAGTGGAGCCTTTGGCTGCTGCCAGCGTCTCAGGGAACTGAACTTCTATTTTGGGCTCGTATTCCCCCATCACACCTGTGCAGACAATTGAGAAGGTCAAATTTTGAAGGTGATTTTCAAAGGGTTTTCTTTCTCTCTCTTGCAATTCAAGATTATTTCTCTGACAATCTGCTTATAAAGGGAAGCACAGTGAGATCAGAGACAGAGATAGGATGCAACAAAGTTTATCTTATAAGAAAGTTTGACTGTGGGAATTGGAAAAACAGAAACTTCCACAGACACTGAAGGATTTGATCTGCAGCCTTGAGAGAAGCTTGGACTGATGTAAAAACACAATACACAGACATTAAGCAGGAAAATCATAAACTTATGTTTCCATAGATGTAGGTGAGAATATGCCTGAAGTGAGAAATGGTTTTGACAAAATGGTGAAGGGTTTATAATCTAAATGTGGGGTTGAATGGAATAAATGAAGAGTTTAGAAGTTATAACAGAAATATATGTGTGTACATGTGATAATAGCCCACTGGATAAAAGCATCCACAGTGCAGCAGAAGTAAGTAAAAGTGATAGGTTAGAAAAGCAAAACAAACCCTGTGGCAACTGTCCATTGGTTTAGAAAGTTCTATACTGCCGCGTAACAAAGAACTTGTGACTACTCTGAGCTACGGCCGAGCTCTTGCTCCTCCAAAACCTCACAGCCTCTGGGCCTGATGTTTATCTGAGCAAGAAATCAATCTTATCCCCACAAGGGTCCCATCCCTTCATGACAAAGGCGACAATGACAGGACAACACGTGAGGATTTCGGCGCAAGAGCCAAGAACTCTGGGAAGTGAGTGATCCTGGGGATGCCCCCGGGTTCCCCGGCAGCCGTACCGTCGGTGCGCAGCACCAGGGGCGTGGGGGAGCCCAGCACGGGGCTCCTGCTGGCCCTGCTGGTCACCACGCAGCTGTAGTTGCCCACGTCGGAGGGCTCCACCTTGGCTATGTACAGGTGCCCCGTCTCCTGGGACACGAAGCGCCGGCTGTCCTCCTGCACGAACGACGGGTACTCGTTGAAGATCCAGGCGAACGACAGGTCTGCGTGGGGGGAAAAACACACATGCAAAGGTGTTTTGATAGGATTTTTCCGTCTTTTTTTCCTTTAAAATTGCCGTATTTGGCAGCACTGCTGTGGCATTCACATTATCTGGAAAATCCCTTCGCCCGGGGTTTTTCTTTTGGGAAGCTGAGAAGCCTCAGAGAAAAGGAAAACAATTCTTATCTCATTTGCTTCTCCTGTGTTTTGCTCATGTGGAATGTGGTTGGAGATTGTTTACCCACAGGTGATTGTTTCATTGCATTCTGGTGTGAATTGTTTTGACTCAATGGCCAATCACAGTGCCAAGCTGTGTCAGACTCTGGAGAGAGTCACAAGTTTCATTATTATCTTTTTAGCCTTCTGTCTGTATCCTTTCTGTATTCTTTAGTATAGTTTAGTATAATATTCTTTAATATAATACAGTATCATAAAATAATAAATTAGCCTTCTGAGAACATGGAGTCAGATTCATCATTCCTTCCTGCAACAGGGATCCCTGCAAATACAGTACTCTGCATTATTTACAGTACTTTACTGTGTAACAAACAGAGCCAGTGACTAAGAAACATACAGTTTAAAAAGTACCAGACACTAGCAAAACCCCCCATTTTTTCTTCACCATGTCCTCCAGCATAAGGAAAAAAAAAAGGCAAAAGAAATCCAGAATATTAGCAGGTTGGTTTAAATCTCCTTTTTTTTTTTTTTTTTTTTAAATTTAACATGCACAGAAAGAGGAGCAGGCAGAAAAAATGAGAGCAAACTTTGCTAAAATGGGAAGATTATTCATCCAGTAGCTGCTTAACTCCTCAGCCAGATGATTAGCAGGTAGAAACAGGACAGCAGTATCCACGTGATCAGGATGTCAGAAGCAGCCTAAATTCCCAGTAGGGCTCATCACACAGCAAAACTATTTTTTTCGTACAAAAATCCATAAAAACTCCATTAAAAGCGTTTCTGTGTGATGTGGCAAAGTAGCACTCGCTACTATTCATTATGATTATTTGAAAGGGAAAAAAAACAAACCCACAGCTCGAAAGAGAAACCAAGAGATTTGGCAAAAAAATCCACAGAATTTGTTTTGTTTCCTGAGCATCCTCTGAGCCTCGTGTGGCCAATTTTATTTGGCAAAAGCCCCTTCCTGTGCCAGGCCACGTGTTTGTCTCATTCATTTCCTGCAGGATCAAAGGAAAATAAATTTTTAATGGTGTTCTAGGCAAGGAGTAGTTTTTTTCACCCACGTGGTGCTTATACAAAGATTACAGCTTCTGGAAGTGCTAATTAGCAATGATTACAGCTTGATTGACCTCTCTTGTGGGGCAGTGTCTGCAGCACTGGCACTGCCCCCACCAAATGGAGATCAGCCCTTCCTGCACAGGTTTAATTGTTTAATTCACAAATTTGGGTGCAGCATGAAATGAAAAGGTGACACATCCTGAACCCTCCACCCCTCCCCAGGCTGCCAAAGCCAACAGGACAATTCAACACAAGGTAAGACTCTGCAGGTGAAAAAAACACTCAATAAATGAAATTATTAAGATATTTATAGGCTGCCTAATGCAAAAAAAGGCATCAAATGAAACGGCTGATCATTAACCTGCATTTAATTTTCCTCTATCAATATTTAAACCTCTTTCATTATGATAATTTTGCAGCAGTGGCCTGTGCCAACCATTAACAGGCTCAGGAGTTAAACTCCTGTCATAGTTAGAAATATTAGAAATAAATGAAAATAAATAAATAATAAATAAATAGGATAAATAAATAAACAAATGAATTAATATCAGAAATATTCTTTGCCAAAATCAGAACCATAAGGAGGAAAAGACCTGCAAGACCATCTCCCCTGTGGACCTGCAGCATCTCCCCAGGAGCACCAATGGCTTTCACCACAATCCCTTCCTCCAGAAGTCAGAGGTGCAATTCATTTATGGAAATGAAGGCAGCAAGGATTTGTCAGGAAACAATGGGGGAATTAGTGCAGAGGGAAGCATTAAATTATTTCAAAAATAAAGAAAAAAGAGAGCACAGCTGAGGAGTTTGAAGGGGACTACATGGTCTGAGGGAGCAAGGAATTCGGGATGTTTCTAAATGGGAAAGGCAGAAAATAGAGAAGAACTATTTCTGCAGAAGAGCTGGGTGGGCACAGTGATCTCAGGGCTGAGGGAGGGGCTGCACACCAAGTCAGGGACCAAAAAATCCCAATTTTCACCTCCACACCAAACTCAGACACCCACGAGGCAGCCGTGGGTGATACCAAGCTTTAATGCTTCTGGTATTTATTGAACCACCTGTGTTTCCTTGCTCAAAATATTATTTCATGCTTTTAAAAAAAGGAGAAAATAAAAAGAAAGAAGATGGAGATGCAGCAGGAGAAGCAGCTTCATTTCATTGCTAGGATATTGGGTTAAGTAAGTCAAGAGTGAACCCACTGAAATCTGTCACTGGGATTATGGCAGCCATGCAAAGTGGATTCCAGTTTAATTGGGTCCTTCAACCCATGAATAAACACTCCTGGAAACCTAATTCCCCATCCAACACTTATTTTCACTGACTCCCTTAAAAAAGGCTGGGGGATTTCTATCCCTGTGCCCCACCACCTCATTTTATATTTATTGTCCTTTACAAAAATGCACTCTTATTTTCCAAAATAAAAAAAAAAATCATATTAAACAACTTGTGGTGTGATTTATTATGTTTACACCATTTGCCTGTTGCTGATCTTAGGGCACCTCCAGGGACACAAACTCACTCCCTTTCTGTCAATTACAAGTTTTCAGTTGATTTTCTGTTATAAATGGAAGTAATATGTCTCTCCTGGGCTTCCTCTGAGTTCTAAGCCTTTGCTTTCCAATGCATTTTTTCCTTATTTGGCGACCATACATGGATAAGGTATTGGAAATTACAGTTATTACTCAATTTTTATTTGTTTACTGCGTTTTGGTTGGCGGCTTCTCTTTATTTTGCATTATTTGATTATTATTTACTGTGCAGTTTCCAACACACTCAGCATGTTCCCACTGTTCCAGCCCTTTTGTGCACCTAAGTGCTCAATTAAAAAAAAATGCTTATAAAATTACCTGTCATTTTTAAACCTGAATTCTTTGTGAAATTCAACAATTAAATCACCATGGCCTTTGGGGTTTACCAGGGTCATTTCCTGCTATTTATGAACCTTAAAAAACCACAAATTACTGTTGCTAAAGGAACATAATGGGGTAAACCCCACACATTTATTGGTTTTTAACTATGTTAAAAGTCAAGGCTTAAGTTTATGCACGTCCTTTTGAAAATATGGCTTCAAATTAAGCTTAAAAGTATTTTATAACTATAGAATTGAAAGAAATGACACATTTCTTCTAAGTGGGACTGAAACACTTCACTGGGAGATCATTTACAGAACCAGGGTGATTTTACTTCTTGTGAACAGAATTTAAGTGACAACAGCAGTGCTGGAAATCCCAATCAGTAATTAAATTCAGGAAGCTGTAAAAGCAGAAGTTTAGGGGGGGATAAAAGGCACCAGACCACAGATCCAAAGGAGAAGGACAATTCACAAAGTTCATTTTATTCACTTTTTGCATAAATAATGTCAGCTTTTGCTCCTTCTGGGCCATCATGTCTTTATACCTGCTTAATACCCACCTGCCAGCCCCATAATTCACACCTAAATGAGACTTCTCAAACAGCCACAAGTAAGTGATGTGAACAATGATTCTTCTGAACCAGATTTAAAATGTTCCAGAATGACTGGATTTCAATTAGCCAAGTGGGTGTTTCCAGAAATAAAGCTGGTAAGAAATGAAAATTCTTGATTTTGGGGAGCATGGAGTAATACTTCAAGGTTAAAAAATAACCCCCCAGATCCAAAAAAACAGAGAAAACCAATCACCAAAACATAAACAGGTTTCATGTCAACCATTGATGCCCAAATCCCAATTATTTAATGCACTTCTCCAGCTCTGATTTTACAATATTCTGCAGCAGAGACACAAGGAGAAGCTGAAATATCCTGGAATTTTGTGTCTCCCAGTGGCTGTCTACCTATCCCACAGGATGGCACGTGGCTCCTGGAAAACTGTTTTCAAGAAAGTAATCAGACAGAATTTAGCAATGACAGAACCTGCAATTAAAAGCATGAAAATCTGCAGCAAACAGCTATTCTGAACGATCTACCTTAGGTTAAAAGTGATGGAAAAGTAACACTGATTTTGAGAGGATAATAACAGACTCCCTAATTAAGGCAGAAACCAATTAGTTCATCATTTGGCCCAATTTCAGCTCCAAGTGTGACGAAATGGCAGGAAAGGGAGCAGTTTGGGGATGAGCATCCCTCAGGAGGGAGGAGCTCTGAGAGCTCACACTGAGAATTCAGGCTGGCTTTTGTGGGACCATCACCCACCAAAATGTCCATTTATCACCACTGCTGCAGCCCTGGCTGTCTGCACAGGAACCTCTGGGAGAGTGCAGACAAATTACCTAAAAGCAGGAAATTAATTAATGAGGTAAAAGTGCATTAAGGTCCCAGAGGATGCTCTGGGGTGCAAAGTGTCCTCACCTCCCTGAAGGCAAATCCTTGGATTACACTGCTGTGGGACTGGGATACTGGAATGTCAGTGCTCCCAGGGGAATAACTGGTTTTATTTTACATAAATTACTTCAAGCTTCTCCTTAATCCTTCTCCCTTGGGCCAATTTTCCTGCACTTAGTTCAGCACCTTGAGCACCCCGTCCTCCCCTGGGCCAGCCCCACCACCAGCTGCTCTTGGTGTTGCCTTCCCTGTGCCATAAACCAAGTTAAAATCTCCCTCATTTCTTCTGGCAAACGTTAAAGGTTGCTTTCCAAATAAAACCCTTGTCCCCGGAGGCGTGGGACAAGGTGTCTGTGTGCTCCCAAAACGTATGTGTAAACTGGAGCTTAAAATGTCACAAGGTGCCTCTCTCAGAAATGGCAGCATCTTGGCAATGGAAAAACCAGTTTAGAATACTACTTGAGATAAATT